ACAATTAAACTATCAAAAATAATAAAAATAAGACGGCCGCAGATTTTTTCTGATTTTTTTATATCAAAATACTTTTAGGATACTGAGTCTCAATGCTACACTTGCCCTGAGTAAAAATCCAACCTACTTCCTCCGACATTTCTTCGTGTGTATATTTTTAAATTTAGTAAGTACAATTGGCTGGAAGGAGCATACAAATATATGTAGATAACTTTTAGTGATACAACTTGCAAAAGTAGGCGATGCACCTGCACTCGCGAAGCTAGGGTAAGTTGTTAGTCTATTATAATTATTAATTCATAAAATGTATATCAGCATAATTAAACGTAAAACGAATCCATTTATAATATTATTAAATCTAGGGCTTCACAACAGTCTTCAAAACAGTATAAATAAATAAATGAAATAAATATGTTGGGTCATCAACACACAGCACCATCTAGTTCCATGGTAAGCTACGAGGCCTGTGTTATGGATACCAGATAGTTGATACACTACACACATAGGTATAACTTTAAATACATTCGTGCTCATCACACAAATGAATGCCCCCAGCGGGACTCGAACCCGCGACCGCTCGCACAACAAGTAGGGTCACTACAAACTAAGCCAAACGTGTCGTCTATATAGTATATAACAATACATCTTCAGAATAAAGAGCAAGCAGGTAAAGGAAGACCTAACATCTGTAAATTCGTAGAACATATAAATTGACAGTTATAGCCCATTCGAGCGCAATCGGCGGATGAGTCTATAGATCAGCACTACAGCCATCCATCGCGGTAATGGCGCCGTACCTCGCGGTTACCTTGAATCTTTTATACGCGAATCTGCTAAGAAATGGCCGCTTGAACGAAAAATATGAATTAGATGTATTAAATATGTAACTAGTAACCATTTTTTTTTGTGTTAGGTACATACATGGTTATGTACCGTGATAATTTTTTTTTCTCTTTATTTATGTAGGTACTAAGGTAAACAAAACATGTCTAAGTATATGCTATATCAAAATTAAAAACAAATGTTAGCCATCGATCAATAAAATATCGTTATTATAATTTTTTATTGGATATTGATTTTATGGTATTCAGTAAATTTATTTTTATTTTATTTATAAATACTTTTATATCACTAAGTAAATTTAGTTACAAAAAAAGCATTTGGAGATGCCGGGGATCGGACCCGGGGCCTTTTACATGCAAAGCGAACGCTCTACCACTGAGCTACATCCCCTGTTGTAAAAAATACGTAAACACTCATGAAATTTTAAATTTCATTCATCGTCAACTTTTTTATGTCTGTTAAATCTTAATTCTTTTTTTGAAGCCTTAAAGTTATCTTTTCTATCTCCAATTTATATTAGAGATAACAATAATTCAATTTTCCTATTTATTTAATACAATTTAAATTTAAGTCTTCCAACTTTATGTTACTCAAAGAATTACAAAAGACATTTCTATACATTAACGTCACTCGAACGTACGGTCGAAAAATAACCGAAATATATTGTAGCCACGAGAAATATGTCGCGCCACACAAGTAAAAGATAACATGGACATTTTTCAAACTAGGAAATTTATGGCGGCTCAATTGAATTTCACACTTGATTTGCGCGGCCGGGTTTGAAAAATCCTTCCGGTTTTCAAATTCGGAATACATCTGTCAAATAAACGCGGGAAAACATAGAGCGGTGTTGCCCGCTTAAGCGGAGGGTCGCCATGTGTCAAACGGAAATAGTTATTTATGGGCCCCATTCACAAATTGCATTCGTGGCCGAATTGATATATTGGAATGTTTTATATGTAAATGTGATCTAAGATGAATGTGTTGCCCCACAAACGGATATCGAATGATTTAATAGCTGCGTTACGCGAAATAGTATACAAATACACACCATATATTACAATATGATATAATTTATATATATATATATATATATATATATATATATATATATATATATAGATATAATTTATAGAAATCTATTGGGAACATATTAATTAATATTATATTTAAAAATTTATCATTCGTGAAAAAGCAGAGCTATTATATAAAATAATGAAAAGTTAAAATAACCAAACACTTTTATAGCAATTCCAATTTGCATTAGCATTTTGCTTTTCGAGAATATAAAAAAAATAAAATCAATTGATAAATGTTACGTATAAAGTAAACTTAGCTTCAAAAATAGCTACACTTTAGTTTTCTAAGAATCAATAATCATTATTATTAAATATTATAAAGTTACCGCCGATCATACCTTCTTTGTATTTACTCGGGTTAATTTCATAACTACTGAAGGGATTTTCATGCTATTTTACCAATAGAAACAGAGATTATCTAGAAAGTTATAGGCTAGATAATTAATAAAAACTGTAATATAATACCTATTTCATATTTGTGTATTAAACTCAAAAAAATTCTTTCTAAGATCTTCCGTAATAATAAATGCAAATAATTTAGGGTCACTAGTTTTAAATAAATTAAACTCAATTAAAAATATATGTTTAAATATATTTTACATCCTACTAAATAGCTACTTGACGCCTAAGTATTCACGAGCTTTAAATTGTAGTAAAACAAGAGCAAAGTGAAATAATATTGTTTACAGATAAAACATAGTCACGATTATATAATAAATCATACTAGTTTCAGTAAATCAACATCTGTTGGAGAGTCGAAGGTCAGCTCGTGGACAATAGAAACTTGGATATTGTTGCAATACACTAACGATCGTAAAACTGTCTAATATACTGTTTATGTCTGTAGAATATAAGTTAAAATGAAATTGTCGATAAAATATTGAAATATAACATAAATTTGTAATTTATTATCTCTAATCTAGTTCTACTAGATTATACTCTTAGTTTTTTAGGAAATAATTGAGTTTCGATCAAATTGATTTGATAACTCGGAACACTTATCTCAAAGAATCAGAAAAAATCTACGCGTTAGGGCGTTTTTTTAATAGGCTGAATAAGGTTTAACTTAAAAAGGCCTACAGAAAAGTCCGCAATATCAAGCATGAGTCTCTCCTAAGATACACTTACAAATCGCAATAACTATTGACCTATATTTAAAACGTAACGTATAAGAATTAAACAAAAAATCTGCCAATTTCTACTTAGTACTTACTTAATAAAGGAAAAGTAACCCGTTATCTAGTAATCTATTATTACTAGTCTTTGATATAGAATATATTTCATACTATGGACTTACACTCCCTTCGCTCGTGTGCGTCCCTAGGTATATTTTAATTCTTTTTATATAATCAAAGTAGCCTAAATTACTCTCTTCATAACATCAACTATCTGCCAGTGAAAGTCCCGTCAAAATCTATCCAGCCGTTTAGGAGATTAGCCGGAACAAACAGACAGACAGCCAGACAGACAGACACAGCCAGACAAAGTTTTTAAAAGTTTTGTCTTTGTTATAAGTACCGTATATAATTTCATATGCATTTAGTAAAAAGTTGTTATTTTGGTATTACAAACAGCCACTTCAATTTTATTTGTCTGAATAATAGATATTGATGAAAATTCAGACTGCAAACGGTAAGCAGCTATTATTTATATATTTGACCGGAATAAAAAGGAAGGAGGCTTCAGAAGTGTAATTTTTGTGAATGTTTTTATTTTTAATTGTTACGCGATATTTTCACCCAACCGTTTTTCATCTAGTCATTATTTTTAATGAATAATTTGAATTAAGAATGGGTGGTACCATATAAATTATATATATATATATATATATATATATATATATATATATATATATATATATAATTAGTTTTATGATTTTGTATTAGGTACCCGTTGATAAAAAAGTACTAGATACACAATCAGCGATAAAAAGTCCCATCGAATGAGCGCTAATTTGAAAATTTGAGCGCGCTTTGATTTTAATTTTCTTTTTGTGAAAACAACTTTAAGAAATAGATTTAAGGTTCAATTTACATCGTTGTATATTTATTTCAATTAGACTAATTACTCAAACACAATTGGTGACAACACAATTGGTGTAAGAGAACTTTTGCATGGGTTTGTGTATCAATGTAGGTAACTTTTATAAAATAAGTTTAAGATTTAACTTATTTTCTTTGTAAGGTACATAACTATCCAATATTCCTTCATCTCTAAACTATCTCGGAGTTATAACAGATTTAACTATAGTGAGTTTAATAGTCTTATACATATTTTGTAGTATAAAGGTTTTTTTTCTATGTAAAGGATATAGTGTAAAGAGGTTAATTAAAAAATAAAATACTTTTTTATTCGGTTTGGTTTATTTTATTTTAGTTTTTATGTGACCTTACTTGCAAATGACTGAACTTCTTTGGCTTGTACACTGTTATTGAGTGGAAAGTTTATGGATATTTTATGAAGACACCCAAAATAGATGGGTACTTCCATACTAATACCCTCTCTCTATATATATATATAAAGCATATAATATAATGTAATCACTTACATCGCACTAGAAATAGAAAAAAATATATATTTACCAAAAACTAGAACTAATTAATATGGTATAAAAACGATTCTGAATTGAAGTTTGAAGGAGCACAGCTATACAATTCCTTACCTAAAGATGTAGAAAATTCAAAATCTATTAATATATTTAAGATGAAATTAAAGAACTATACTTAATTATATACTTTCGAAAGATTTGATTAAGTAGCACTACTGCATGATTAGTTATATATATATATATTTTTTATATATTTTTTATAATATTAAGTGAACTATGTTCTTTTTTCAAAATAAATGTTTAGATTTAATCTAAATAATTAATTCGGCAGCATCATGATGACTTGGAGCTCCGGATCACCGGATCACCCCTCTTAGAATTAGAAGTTAGTTCTTCCAGTTTTCCGGGTATCCTGCCCGTAGAATTGTACTGTGTAAAGTACTGAGGATACGTTCTACGTTTAAATGACTTTTACTAACAAGTACATTTTTAATTTGATTTGCTTGCAACTGCTGTTCATTTAGAAGTTAGCTATTATGAATAGCCGATAGTGCTTGTTGCACTGAATTCAGAAGTTTTGTTAGAATAGTTGACAGCGTTTCCTTTGTGACTCCTTGAAGAGTAGACCTTTGCCGGTTGTTTTTCGCCTCGATAGAGATGCCATTACGTAATTTCAGTCTTCGCGGTTGCCGTTGTGAGTCTTGCTGGTTTGGTTGCGATTGCCTCTGTAATCGAATCTCGGACGTCTGATACAACGGTTTTGAAGGGTTTGTTGAATTTAGTAGTTGTCTAATAGATGGAATCCTTATTATGTTAGTTCGAGAGTTGCTCTTTGACGATCCCATGAATACGTCTTGTTTAAAGTTATTCTGATCGGTCGGTAGATATTGATTTTGATGAGAGCGCGTGAGATATTGTTCTTGAGTTGGGGAACTTTGCTGTCCATCTGATTGTTGGACAATGATAGGGCGCCGAGATGAGTTTGAAAGGTTTTGTGAAGCAGATGCAATATTGGTACTACTCTGAATAGCATTCCTTCGATCGACAGCAGCTAGGTCGTGAGATATTTTGACATTTATTTTGGGTACATTCTGAATTTCTTGAGAACTGCTTGCAATGCTCCTACGCGAAGCTATTTGATCTGTGTGATTTCCAGTGTTCATTCCTAGTACTTGTTGACCATTTTGTGATTGATTCTGAATAACTAATGATGATTTATCTTTCACCAAGCGCATTGATAAAGATTCAGTTTGGTCCATTGAATTTGATGGATTCTGCGCGGCAATAGCCAAATTTCTTGAGATATTCGTGGGACGTGTTCTCTTCTCAACCGTTTTTTGAATCGGTACTAAGGGCCGTGCCCGATCCATGTGACTGTATAGATTAGCAGACAATTTGAGTGAGTTATGAGAGGAAGGTTCGTTATTTAAAACTTCATCAGTGCGATGTTCTTGATCAGTATAGATCATCTCCATTGATGGGGCCACTGAAATTTTAGGACTTTGGCCGGGTTGCAGCATTTCCATAAACTTCGTGGTAACTTGATTAGAAGATAGCTGTTGTTCCATATTATTGGTAGGCTGGACTTCTTTATCGTCATCTATAGCAATAGTTGGTACATCAACGTTCAAGGACGGCATACTTAGCGCTGTCACTGTGCGCTGAGAGGAGCTCGATTCACCGTTAGAAGCAAAAGCAGTTGTTTCTCTCTGAGCACATTCCATTGATTGGTTGTCTTGGATAATCATCAACTGTTGGCTTTTCGAACATACAGGCTCTGCATTAGCATAGTTAAAAAATGCGCTAGATGACTGAGCAGCTTCATCAAGTTTCAATCGTTTCCCATCAAGTTGTTTCTTCGGTTCTGAAAGTGCTGATCGCTTGATTCTCGACAGTGGATTCCGAAGATTATCATTGGATTTCGACGAATGGCTTCGGTTGACGCTGCGCATTTTCTTGTTCAACGTAAACTTTAGTTGCGATCTGGAAATAGAAATTGTTATTACTATTTTGAAAGCTTGCACTTGAAAATATGTCATTCGAAAAGGTAATTCCAATGAAAATTGAATCGTCAAGACTAATTAAATAATTTGATTCTTACGTGTTACTTCTGATTCTTTTGATGTTTGGTGATGGTTAATCCGAACCTCTCCCAATCTCACGTGAGGGAGAAGGTGGTCTTGGCAAATATCACGTAATGTTTTTTTCTGCAAGAAACAACATAAAATTGTGACAAATCTGGGTTAAATTAATTAATATTTCTCCTCTAAAATATGGCTTAATCATAAATCACAATATTTATCGCGAGTAATAAAGATACGATGTATATGACTATAATTCTCACTACAAAAAAAATTAAAACTTATTACAACCATTGTTTTATGGTTAATTTTATTTTATACAAATTAAAAAAAAAATACTTGATCTAAAGGAATTTTTGAAGTTATAAGTGTCAATGTAAAATTTTTATGCTAACTTTTTATTCAATGATCTAAACAAATATTTAATCTACTATAAATAAATATTTATTAATATATAGTTTAATAGGTACACAACAGTCTATTAAAATATATTTATTTCACTTGAGGTTTGACAAGAAAACTTATGGTTATGGAAATTATACAAAAAAATTACATAAAATCTTACAACTGCGTGAAAATGAGAGTCGTGGAGGATCGTTATGATATGGATGTTTACGCGTTCGGCGCTCGCGGTCGAGCCACGCCGTCGCTCACGCGTTCGCGGGGGACGGGGGGGCGCGGGCGCCTAAACTATACGATCGCACGAAACACGGCCCTACAGGATCGTACATGTTCCGACACGATACCCCGCGATCACCGTTGTTTGTAAAAACCCCGCGTTACAATAGTTAATAAAATAAGTGTATTAAACGATTTGTAAACTATTCATAATTATTCAAAAATACTAGTTATTTATGTATTAGCGTAACCGTATGGAATAGGTAGATACTATATATTATACGATATAAAGCCTTATAGCCTTCTTAAATAAACGAGTATCTAATACAAAAATATATTTTCAAATCGGATTAGTTCCCGAGATTAGCGCGTTCAAACAAACAAACTCTGCCTCTTTATAATATTAGTACAGATTAAGAAATCCTTCTATCACTGGTGTGCGAACGCCACAAAGTATCATTAACCTGTGACATAATTTGATAAGTGATCAATGTAGCCAACACTCTTTCAAGCTAAATCGAGCGCTAAATTGACTTCAAAAAAGCGCTAGTTTTGGACATTTTTCAAAAAAAAAAGCTCTAAATTACAAAAACAATTAAAAAATTTGGTAATTATAATTATTTTTAATTAAAAGTTACATATAAATCATACTGTAGTGTACCTACAAACATTGTTGGTGGTACCTACATAACTGTTTTGATCATGACTTACATTTTGCATTTTTTTAATATGTATTAATATATATTTTTTGTATTTTCAACTAATGTAAAATAATATACATGAATTAAATTGAAAAATAAGGTTATGGAATCGTAAACAACAGAAACTAAAATGGCCGGGACCAGGCACATATCCACTTGTTTTTTAATTAACAACGAATATAAAACAGAACGCAAATAACAATTAACAAACTAATCAATTAAATCAAAGCTAACGCGTTTCTTAGCTAAATAACAATAAGCAAATTTTTAGGAAGTCGTAACTAGTCTTAAATAAAAAGAATTATAAGCTGATTGGTTTTTTTTTTACCATATTATTATTATTCTATCCGTCCCATCATGTGTATATTATTTCGAAAAACTATGATAAATCTTACCTTCCTCATGCTTGTATGAATTCCAAATATTTCCATTAAAATCTTCTTGTCCTTGTAAATTAATAAGCCAATTTCCTTCACTTCTTATTCACTTAGTCTTTGAATAGATAGTTTGTTGCTTCACGAGTTCACTCTTCAGATGCCGACGGAACTAATTCATCTATTTGATTTGTTTTCCATGATATACCGACAGCCGAAATTAATGACACCTACGTCATCATTACTAAACGCTGAGTCATAGTAAATAATATAAACAATTGATGTTACTATCTTCAAAGTTCAAAGGTTATCAGTACCACCGGCTCTACTAAATAATGATCACGCCGCACGCGCCGATTGACGTCAGCGTCCAGCGATATCCTAATCCTAACAAGCGACTCGCCCTCGCTTCGCTCGGGTTCGTCCCTAGTTTGCTTCCCAATTCAACCTTTCATCCCCATTTTCACCCCATTAAGGAACGATTTCGGGATAAAAATATCTTATGTCCTCTAAAGGAACTTAAACTATCTTGTTACCAAATTTCATCTTAATCGGTTGAATTGTTCCAGAGATAATATTAGTATATAATATGCGTAGCATTTCTATATTAGTTTGTGCTAAAGAATTAAGAAATATAAATAAAAATATAGACTGTAATAAGTAATTCCTATTTACTTGCTGGTGGCTAATGTTACCATAATTTTCGAATTCTACCATTTGGAATAAAAATAAAATGTAAATTTATATCACATAAAAAGAAGAAAGCCTAGCATTTTTTTCTTTTTTTCAAAAATAAGATAAGTAGGTATAGGTCTAATTTTGTTAACTCAACAATATGTAATTAAATTGATCAGTTCAAAATATCTAGTTAATAAAAAATATTTACTAAATTCTTTACATTTTTAGGTTCTTTCTCCTTTTCTGATATATTTATTTCAGTATAATATGTAACCGACGTTAAATAATAATGAATGACTTTTGTATAATATTCAGAGAATAAATCCGTGTCGTACCTGCCATACTTGATAAATATTTATATACTATAGTAGAAAACACAGATTAAAGCTAGCAACAAAATTAAACAATAATCAAGAAGACTGAAGGTGACCTGGTGAAGAAGCCTGTGATATTATGATAGTTTCTTTTTGTTATTAATAGACATTGGAGCTGCGTAACATTTCTCTATAGTTTGTTTTATCATTAGAACTAAACCTATTACCTAGCGTTTCTAAGTTAAAGGAGTAATATAACCTTAATTAAGGTTTTGAATAAATTAAAAATTGTTTTGAAAGAGTAAAAATGGACTTTAATGATAAAGTTGTACTAATTACTGGCGCAAGTTCTGGTATAGGAGCTTCTACAGCAATACACTTCTCAAAACAATCAGCGAAATTAGTTTTAGTGGGCAGAAAAGAAAACAATTTGAAAAGAATAGCTCTATATTGTGAAAAATCAAATGGAATAAAACCATTAACCATCACAGCAGATTTAACAGAAGATTCTGATGTTGAGAAAATTGTCAACGAAACAATTGAGCATTTCGGAAAGTTAAATGTTTTGATAAATAATGCTGGCATAATAGCAATGGGAGGAATAAAAAACTCCAACATGGAAATATATGATAAAGTAATGTCAACCAATATGCGTGCCGTATATCAGTTGACGATGTTGTGCTGTCCACATCTCATTCAAAGTAAAGGTTGCATTGTGAACGTATCTAGTGTTCTCAGTAGTAAAGCTAGTACTATGTCTATACCATACAGTATTTCCAAGGCTGCCTTAGATCATTTTACTAAGTGTACTGCTTTAGAATTGGCACCTGATGGTGTTCGTGTTAACTCAGTCAATCCTGGTTTTGTGAAGACAAACATCCTGAAAGATACCGGATTAACTGAAGATCAATTAGAAATGCACGCAAAGAATGTCATGAGTAAAAGACCTCTCAAAATAGCAGTCGAAGCCGATGAGGTGGCCAGTGTTATTGCATTTCTTGCTAGTGATAAAGCAAAGAGTATTACTGGTACTATATCTGTAATCGACGGTGGAAGTCTGTTAGTTTAAGTTTTAAAACTTTATATAATGCATTCTGTTAGAAAATCATGAGCTTTCATATATCCTATTCATGGACGAATTAGAGACTGGACCTGACATAAAATACAAATGTATGAAAACTAGTTCAACCAAGTGATGCATAACGCACACAAAGATTTTATTACATTATTATAAACACTGATACACAATACAATATTTATAGTGCTTGAACGTAATCGATAAAATACATATATCGATGAACCAATGAATGAAATTTTTTTGGTTAGCATAGACATCATATTTTACATCTTTTAATTTAAAATATCTGTATTTATTATAATACATTAAAATAAATGAATTAAAGAGGCAACAATAATGTGTCAAATAATAATCATTTTTTAATTTGATTTATATAAATACGATGGCATTGATGGCAACATTCTGTTGGCATATAATAATGTTAATAAACAAATGAATATCGGGTGTATATTCCATTAATATATAATAAATATTATTTTTTAAAGATTAAAAAAATATTAAGCTAATTTAATTAAATAAAGTGATTTTGTTGATTCTGTTATTGAACTATTTTAATTGGCAATTGATTGTCTCGGGTAGTTATAAAAATGTGACACTGTCCTAATATTGCTCAGTTATTAATAAACATTTGTGAAATTAGGAAAAAGAAAAAGAGATTGCAAATTAAAGTGAGCGTTGGATCGTGAAAGTAAAATAATTAGTGCAAGTGGTTAAGTGTTTTATTACAAATCGCCAACCCAGAAGTTTAGTGCTAAAACATTATTGTTTGATTTTGTGTTATTTATTTGTTGAAATAAAATGATCTTTATTATTATTACAAACGAATAATATTCCAAAGTATATAAATGTGGAATAAAATAAATAAAAATTAAGTACACATACTAATTATAATTTTTGCATTTATATTTTTATTTGATTTAGAAAATATTTTTGTAAATTTATTGTCATCAGATTGTAGGATACTGTGGTAAAAGTATTTTATGTTATTGTACTGTACAAATAACACAATTCGTTTAGTAATTTCGTCAAATATCGATATATTTTTCGACATTGTCAAGCACTAGTCGATGTCAAATGGACTCACTCGACAGTTTAGTCATTTGTTCTGAATGGTATAATCCAGGGATTTTATGATGGTTGTCAGATGTCAACAATACATAGAAATATCGACTATATTTAACATAGTTGGATAATATGACATTTTATTTTACATTTAATTAAATTGTGTGATAAATAACAATAAATGTAATAAAATAATGTATTTACAAGTGAAAAGAAATACTGCTGCTTCCGCCGTTATAGTTTTTACATTATTTAACAGAACATTTAGTCATTTTTGGGAGATGTTTTGTTGACAAATAAGTGCTTGAGACTGACGCAAAAAACAAACGACCAAGCCTAAAATCTCCTGGTTACTGAGAAGACCGATAAAGGTACGTCCGCTTATATGTCTAGTCCAGTGGTTGATTCGTTCATGATCCTATTGTATAAACGTAAAGAAGAAAATTATTTATTAAAATATAATAATCTAATATGTTGTCAATATATATTGTTGAGATTACATCTTTGTTTTTCCTAACCTTGGCCCAAAATAAAAAATAACAACATAAAACACGAACTATTCTTGGAATGAATAATATATGTAGTCATTGTATGATAAAACTTGTTTACATAACTCATACATAAAAAAACGATATTCAACATGTTTTTCTAAGATACATTTTTATTTAATAAAACATCCTGAGTCTTAAACATAAATTACTCCACATTAATATTTTTCGTTAATAATAAAGCTGACTTAGATTCATATTGCTAGAATGTTGCGATTTGGTCATAAAGGTAATTTAACATTTACTACAATAAGAACCTGCTTGTTACAAAATACCCGTGTCACGTGTGCCTCCTATTCCAATTCTATATAGCGTATTTTTGATGGGCGGTGCTTATCTCATCACCGTTGTAACAATAATACATGACGTAGGTAGGTTATTTTTATATTTCGAATATAATTGTGTTACGGAGTATGTATACATGTTATAAAATAAAACGCATGATAACTATGACAACTTGTAATAGGTAGTTTTAAATAATGAATACTTTATTTCATCTGTCCGATTCATTTAATATTCAAAAATGGTTTTTTTTTTGCTTGTTAATTCACATAGATGTAATGTTTTTTCTAAAATTAATCGGGACTTAAAATATAAATATTATGCTTGGTGATTTTATAAAGGGACTGGTCTATTTTATAGTTTTTATCAACAAGTAATTTTTGTAGTAAAAGCCATTTATTACGAGTTTCGTAAAATTTACGGTGCAAGTGTTACGATATTGGTTTTACCTATAAGTTTATTTCCATATGATTTACCGCGACAAGTGATTTTATACTTTATTTGTCATCGGGGATGTAGCTCAGTGGTAGAGCGTTCGCTTTGCATGTGAAAGGCCCCGGGTTCGATCCCCGGCATCTCCAATTTTTTTACTCGGTAGATTTAAATATGCATTTTTTTTTCTTGTATTAAAATCAATCAAATTATTTGATACAGTGTTGTAGTAAAATGTAAGGTTTTAAAATTATGTAAGCTTTGCCTATATTCTTATTTAGATTGTTTAGTAACACAGAACATAAAACACAAAAAAAACCAGTTGTCAATTTCATTGGCAATATTATACTATGTATTTAATAGGATATTAATAATTACATGTTTTTTGTTTGAACATTAAACCTTTAACATATGAGTCAGCTGTGACATAAACAACTCAAATTTATTTCTTATTAATTTAAATTAAAAAAAAACAAATACTCATCAAATGCATATATATTTATTATTAAGTTGTTCAGATTGAGTAGAGGCAATTGTTCAAGAATTGCATAAAATGATAGTCTGACATTTCTTTGGTTGTTACAATTTTTAAAACTACCTTTTCGTAACTGCGATTAAAAAAAATAACAGGTTTGAAAATGTCACATTACAGCTACAAAAATCTAGCATTACAAACTAAAATTTTATAATTAAACACCTTAAAACGACGCAACTTAATAAAAGCAAATTGCATTGTAAAGTCATTCGTTTGAAAGAAAAAAAACATGTCAAACAATACAGTTACAAAATAGTTTATATTTCAAGACGCAATATAATAAAAAAATGCAAAACATAATTTAAAATATGTTTCATTTTGCATAAATCAGTATAACTACATACGACAAATGACAATTTAAATAGATTAAAGACTTTTTATATCTAAGAAAACTATTTTTGTTATAATAGAGTCATAAAGTAATTTATTGTAGTAATTTAAAAGAAATGTGCAAAATTTATGACATCATATGACGATCCATGGGTTCGACTCTCTGGGAAATATCGAGGGAGATGTTTTTTTTTTTTAAATTATGCCATTTTTTTAGACAGTTCGCGTTCACGATAATTGTTCAAATTATCAAGTTAACTTTCGATGAAACATACGAGTAGATTCGATTATCCAAAACATGAATATTATTGGACATCAATTGAAAATCGATTTCTTTTCAAAATATATACACAAATTTAAATCGATTTTAATCAAACTGTGAACACGATTCGATGACATCACGAACTTACCAACCACAAGACTAGCCGCACTAGGTATACAATGAACACATTATAATTTAAACACTTGAATGTATAACATGACAATCCTAGTTCTAATAAATTAGAAATGGTTTTAAATGTGAGCTGAATGAACTAACTCGTTTAAACAATTATATATATTGGCTTGCGAGTACATCTGCCTCAAATTGATCGGATATCATATTTATTATATGCGAACCGTCATTTTTTAAAATCCGAAAAAAAAGTAAATTTAAAAATGAAGGAATGTCAATAGACTCAAATTGGATTACTCTGTGGTTTTACTATATTTTATTCATTTACCACCAAAATCCTAAACTATGAAATACTATCGAGAAATAAGCTCCTGGCTATCTTAGGCACTAAACCACACAAGGCGTTCGCCCACCAATAGAACTTACTTTAATTTGGGACGCGTCGTGTGCTCTAGTTAAAGAATTAACATACAATTAAGTATGTATTATAGTCATTCCTAAATTTAACTTATTCTTAATGTTTATGTAATTTAACATAATTTTTTTTTACAATATTTTAAAATCCCGCGGTTTTATATTTGTGTAATTTAACTATATTTCGATAGAATATTACAATATGATTGTAGATAGAAGAAAATTACTATAGGAAAAGTTCTGACGTCATAGACTAAATTGTTTTTATTTCATACATTGCTGTATACAAACATAATTAGTATACTGATATATACTCAAGTACACAAGCAATTCTAATAATATAAAATATAAACTCAATTGTTAATGGCTTCAAAGCGTGCCAGTTGAGCACAGATTACTTTGTCAATGTCACGTAGAATGGAGAAGACACGAGGGAGTTTTTTTTTTATTTTCTTTATCTTTTATCAAATGAAATTACCCATTAATAGCAATTTTTGTGTATGGCTGTCAGCACAATGTAGCGTAATGACATGAAACTTACGTATTCTAGTACACTAATATATAAAATAAAACTGACAAAACAAAATTACTAATTATGTATGTAATATACTTATGCCCGATTTCACCAACATCACTTAAGCTACCACCTACGTACGGGATCCCTAGCTTAAAAGTTCCCCTAAACTAGCCCCTAAATTAAATTTCGTTTTACCATCGTCAGAGCCCGTATTTCTAGTACCTATATTTAGGTGACATTTTAACATTTAGGAGACCCCTAACTGTCGGTGAAACGGAAAGTGTCCCCTAACAGCCCCCTAACCATGCTTAGAGGATCCCTTAAACTTAGGTGACGTTGGCGAAATAGGCCATTATAGTGTTAACTTAATTTTAAAATTATGAATTTTTAATTATGAAAATCTATAAATTAGGAAAAATATTCATCTTTAAGAAATGAACATCAGAACTCTTTCCATAATAAATAACCTGAGTATTAAATCACAATTAAAATAAACGTAATTAATAACAAATACACATAGGTACTAACTTATTTCACAAAACATTATGGAATAGAAGTTTTAATAACATCAATATCTTTTTAATATCGCAAATTTAGAATAATATTTTATTTTTTAAAATAAACTGCATATATTTAATTTAATTTTAAAACTATCCAATTAATATTTAAAACATAAATTTTGAAAATACATAATTCTATAGATCACCACCATATCTATCATGCATTAAAATACTACCAAAAGGGTCACAGCAAATTTTTGTAGGATAACATGGAAACGTGGAGTCGCGCTATTTGGCTGTGAATAAATCATTTATTGTCATTACGTTCACTATTACCACATTAGCTGTAACGTAGAATACATACAATATTGATAGCTTTCTAGACATTTCATTTTGTAATAGACAGATTGAACTGACTTAACCGGATTATTAACTATATTACATTATCAGAGTTTATCGCATTCATTCATGTTCAGATCCGTGTTGCTCGCGTTGCTAGGCGCGGGGCTGGAGGGCGGGGGGTGGCGCGAGGGGCATCGCTTCTGCGCAGGCGCGGGGCACCCCCTGGGGGCCGGGGGTCGTTGCGGGTGTCGGGGGCGCCGGGGGGTGGCCCTGGGGGGTGCTGGCGGAGAGCGACGCGAGCGATGCAGTGGCTGAGACCGAGGGGGCCGGCGACGGCGCGTCCACGTCATTCTGCAACGATCCAACTGCTGAGCCGCCCGCTATAACACCGGGACCAGGCAGAGGGTCGGGGGGTGGAGGGATCGGTGGAGCGTGAGGGGTCGGGGCGGGGGGTGAGGGGGAGGGCACCGTTACTCACTCGCTAATCTGCCGCCTTACCACCGTTACTGTCTAACATCTAATGATATGGTAAATGATATCTATAATACATTATTATTATTTTTTAGATTCCATTTGGATAATGACTCTATATTTGATTCTAAACAATATATAGCTTGATAGCTGTTTGTATTCTATAGTATTTGAGACAGTCAACGGCGTCTAAAACGGCATACATCATCTACGTCTGTGCTGATACAATTACGGTAAATCTATAAAAACAAAATTGAACTGAAACAAAATATATTTGTAAACTTCTCGAAAAACACAATAGAATATGTTATGTCATTAAAATTATAAAACTACAAAGACTTTGTGCTGAAGCGTTACGGCGAGGGGAATGAATTAATATAAAAAAGCCGGTGTTAATGAATCAATAACGAGAGAAATGATATAGTATTACGAACGATAATATTATAACCGTATTGGAGTTTAAATATATATTCGAGTTAATATATATATTCGAGTATAGTTAATTAAAATCAGTACGAATCACGAGTCGAATGGTGTGTGAGGTTGATTGACAATGCATGCAACATAGTTAACCAAAAAAAAAATGAAAAAAAAAAGAACAAAACAAACAGAAATATGGAATATCTGTAATAATGAAACCGCACCTGCTTCTATCGTTAAGGAACAATAGTGCCGAAGTTAAGCTTGATTTGTTCATTAAAAAGTTAAAAAATCGTAAATACTTTAAATGCGGTAAATTTTAAACATTTTTTTACTTTAGTGCAACAACGACAGTGTATCATCCGAGTAACTAAAATCGCATATAGGCATTGGAACGCATACGCAATAGGTACATGAATTCAAATTTAAAATATTTTATTCAACATGAAATTATTACAATTTTTTACTGAACGTCATGAGTCTACTACCAAGGCAACATGAGATAAAATATCCAAAGATGGCGAGTGCTTTATCTCGTGACACCAATATCGTCACCAAGGCAACATGAGATAAAATATCCAAAGATGGCGAGTGCTTTATCTCGTGACACCAATATCGTCACCAAGGCAACATGAGATAAAATATCCAAAGATGGCGAGTGCTTTATCTCGTGACACCAATATCGTCATTTTTAATGTCCCACATTTTATTTATTTACTTGATAATGTTTACAAGGATAATTATAGATTGCAATTGCAGCGTCGCAATTTAGAACATAGTAGTTAGTAAATAAGGCCAAGATTATGTAAAACGAAAGCAGGCAGAAATTGTAAGCACAATAATATTATTATTTAGCTCAATATATGTAAATAGACATTATAATTATAACGTAAGAAAATTTTTTTGGTATCGATCTCATGTGAATCCGTGCAGCTTGAACGTGGTACAGCTCATTCTTACTTTTACCTGACATTCAGTGCCACGAGATGGCGCTACAGGGCTTTAAATTCGAAGCTTACGCCATGAAAATTACTATTTTGACAAGACTTTCTTTTTAAGATCTTTTATCAGTATTTCAGTCAAAAACCAAGGGCGTTCGTCGACTGTATAGATTTTTATCTTGTTTTAATATTGTATAAAACTGGGATGTAATATAAGCAGGCGCGGCTTCACATAATGAATGTTACAGATAAATAAAAAGTAGTTTTCAAGCACAAAGCCTGTGTTCAATAATAAATCATCTAAGTGATTTTATGATTTGAACAATTATTATTCTATGACAATGATAAAGTACCAGCACATTTACCTGAATTGATCACACACATTCCCAAATTATGAAAAAAAAACACATCTAAATTAAAAATGATATGAAAAAAAAAAGCAATAGGAGACCGCTGTATGCCAAAGCATAAAAGAAATACATACAAAATATATGAGCACATGATAATAAATATAAAAATATAAACACATACACCACAATATTATAATATATAAAAAAAATATCTTATAATTAACGATATCCTAATACTCATACAATGGCCTAACTTACGCTACAAAAATTATATTAAAATACGCACAACACATTTTAACGTTTAAACAAAACTTGTTACCTGTTACAATGATGATGAAGATAATAAAACTGTTAGGTCATACACATTTCCTAGCTCCCGAAACGTAGCCGACTAAAAACAACATTCAATATTACATAATAACTATATACTTGTATTAGCAATACGACTTTCAAACACTCTATACATACGGACGAACTCTATTATGAACATGTATTTAACTTACAATAAATTATCTACTAAGAATCTACGTTTTTTTATATTACTTCATGATTAAAAAGATTATTCACTTAATACATACTATTACAGTCTATAGTGAATACTAAAATTACTTGAATATAAAAATTTCAATTTAGAACACATCAGTGAAGTATCAAGGTGTCAGTCACTCTTTAGCCAATCATGCACTTCTATTTCGGAAACCCATAATAATCGATTAACACAAAACGATTAATAAAATAAATCAATATGCAAATATACAATTCGAATATTCGATTCTATTAAAAAAAATATCGATATTCCGCTCCGATTATCTAGCACTAAACATAATATAGTCACTAGCTTCGTATTCTATGTTTGAATTTCGAACGTCTATAAAGTCTATGCCCTAGAGGTTTTAGCTGTACAGATAAAAAATACTAAATAGGTCGCTCTCATCGTTGCTGTCGACGTTTCGATCTACGCACTTACTGTGAGCGACGTGTTTACAACCCAAGTACGCTCTCCGGAGCGCATTTGTGATTTTGCCCTGATTGCCACAGAAAAATATCTTAATATTCATGCTATGTTTTCGTTGAAACAAAACAATAATTTTGAAATAGAAGTATGTATTTTTAAATTGAATTATATATGTAAATTAATCCTACATTTAATGTTTTTGGGGAACGAGCACAAACATTTAAAATAGAAATACGTAAATGACTATCGTTTTAGGTATAACTATTTCATGATGCTATTATCCCTATGTGCTATATAAAAATGCGTACATAATGAATTAAAACATTTCGATATGTATTATTTTTTTTTGCATTCACGTATTCAAAAATGAGAGAGTAGACAAAAAAAATTAATCATGCTTTAACGTAAAGTATCTCACCACACTAACTCCGGTTTTGGCCTGTAATTATAATATTTTCTTTTAACCTATTGTATCCCCCTAACTTGCGATGACAGTTAAAATATAAATCCTAAACCTTTTTATACACTGATATTGTATTATCAATATAATATTATATATAATAAATATTAAATTAAAGAAGATATAATGAAATAATATGAATAAATATAAAGTAGATAAAATACAAAATAAGAGGATGCATGTTCAATTTTCACAGATTTTCATATTTAATCATATCGACCATAGTTAAAATAATAAAGCAAGCACATAAAAAATTATTAGAAATAATATAGCCACTTTAATTATATTAAGTTAGTAGTTATTATTTTATATATCGTAATAATTTGGTTTTTTAAAATAAATTATGATAATTAATATTATTGTTAAATAATTAGTCTCTAAGTTTAGTTTATCCAGTTTATGTGAAAATTGTACTTGCCAAATATACATAAGATATACCCAAAACCAAAATAACAAATAGATATGAGGAGCGAACGAAAATATGGGAATTTTAATGTTCCGTGCTTTTGTTGTTTTCCATATATCCTTGAAATGGTAATCAACGCCTTTTAATAAAAATAGAAACGAAAAAAAAAAAAAAAATGTTTACAAGTAACAATAAGCAAATTATTTAACTTAATAATAATATGTATCAAAATCAAAACTAATAACTTTTTAATATTTAAGATGACAAACAAGAAAAGTAATAATAAATTGTATTAAGTAAATAAACTACCAACGAGAAAGTTATCATACCTTAATTGCATATTGAAAGGAATAAGAAATAAAATTAAACCCAAAAATAGCCCTAAAACCCGACGAAATACCTTTTACTAACAAAACGCAATGACCTCACATGGAAATACACAAAATGTAACAATAACTGAACTTATCTATGACACTTGGTTTTTTATAAATCAATGTGACGTCAAGGACGCCATGTTGCGAAAAATAACATTTCGGCGGCCTATATACATTGTACTTGCAAATTTTTGAACAAATACTTATAGCGATTCAAAATAATTTTTGTAGGCTCAATGAACACCGCTAAATAACAATTAAGACGGTTTCCAGAACCCCATCAAATAGCAAATCAAATCAAAATATACTTTATTCAAATAGACTTTTACAAGCACTTTTGAATATTCAAGTTTACATTTTAAATTTAAATAAAACGTCAGTGTAGTCAGTCCGTGAGGAATCTACCACCGGCCCGGAAAGCAGTTCTGTTGAGAAGAACCGGCGAGAAACCGGCCTATTTGCACTTCCCAACTAGTGCTTAAATTTATATTACCAATATCATTTATCATCGCCTACAACACATAATGATTGATAATAAAGGCGAGCACACACAACAAGAGCACGGAACACAGCGCGGGGGGCGCGTGCGCGGGCGCCGGCGCGGGGGGTACCTTGAGCGGCACGGGCGGCGTCTCCAGGTGGTAGCCGATGTCGCACAGCGCGCGCAGCAACTCGATACCTGTGGGAATCGATTATTTTTATTGGTAGGTAGAATCGATTTTATATACCAGAGGAAATCAACATTTTATTAATAACTAGTTAACCCGATCTCGATTATTCTGTCACAATTTCAGTAGTTTATTTTAAAATCCCATGAAAATGTTTTAGTTTTTCCCATGTTTCAATTTTTCGCGTAACATTTTTTTTCTTTAGAACATTCTTCGATATATTACATAACATTTAAGAAATTTCATTTTGATAAGATTCATATTTCTTTTTAAATAGCACAAATAGTTTTAGAATTAATTTACTTCCTGATATATAAAATTCCTTCCGTAACATATTAATTAGTTTCAAAAAGTGACCCAAAATGCGTTTGAACTAAACTAAAGCGAAATTAGATTCGCAAAACTCATTCATAAACACGCATACATACACACACACACTATATAATATATCTATATTTAAATTAATCGATACATTTAGGTTCATACTCTAATACAGTTAACATTGAAATTGAATTAATAAATATATATTGGGACATTAACACACAGCACCATCTAGTTCCATGCTAAGTTACAAGTCTTGTGTTATGGATACCAGATAGTAGATACATCACACGTATATAACTTTAAATACATACATATAATAAATATAAACACCCATGACTGGAGTACAAACATTCGTGCTCATCGCACTCGAACCCGCGACCGCTGGCATAGCACATAGGGTCACTATAAACCGAGTGAAACGTGTCGTAAACGAATGAGGAGGAAGTATAGGCTCACCGGGCGCGCGGTCGGCCGCGTATCTGGTCTCCCAGGCGTCGAAGAGGCGGTTGTAGTAGCGCGGGCCGGCGAGGTAGCGCAGGTAGCGGTGCGTGGCGCGCGTGGGGAACACGCGCTCCAGGCGCCCGCCCTGCGTCAGCTCGTCCTCCGCCTGCAGCAGGTGGCGCACGTCGTCCGGCGTCAGCGTCGCCAGGATGTCGCGCAGGTACTGCGTCATATTACAAATGTCAAACTGTCTTTGTTTGTCCTTCTTTGAAGTCGAAACGGAGTGACGGATTGGCGTGATTTTTTGTGTGGAGATAGTCGGAGGGCTACAGAGTGACATAGGCTACAAAAAATATATTTTTTTAAATGTTTAGAAATAAAAATCAACAAATATTTAAGGTACTTTATGGGCATTTTTTTAATTTTTTAAATCATTTTTGTAAAATAGTGTGTAGGCACTGTCTGTAACAAGTATGTGTTTGAGACGTCTATAACCTTAGTCTCTCCCGTGACCATGATTGCTATAAAGTTTTCGAAACGTCGGGACCTAAAAATTAAAATAAATCCGCGAAATAATCCGAAAAGATAGTTTTATTTAAAAAGAATTAAAGTAATTAAAATAAAGTGAAATCTTTACTTACCATATCTCTATCTTCCATATTAGTATAAATAATATGCTTGTCTCTTTCTTCCTTAGATAGGTATACAGTGTATAATCTACTATCATAAGGCAAGCCCGCCTGAAAAAAGTAAAGTATGGCATTTAGTTATAAGTTTTTATTTATAAAATATAAAGAAGCCAAGTTTAACAGCAACATTATATTATATTACATTTTATTCATCAAAATTATTTGAAAAAGATTTTAGTATTTTATTTTTAATGTTAAGGCTAGGTTTTGGAAAAATTTGGACTTAACTAAAAAAGTTTGAACTTAACTTAAGAAAAAAAATAACTATGCTCTATTAAGAGTTAAGACTTTATTTATATTTTTTACTAGCATTGCCCGCGGCTCCGCCCGCGTTCAGATGACCAAAAACCAAATTCTTAGGTTTTACAGATTAGTATACTCTTACATTGCAGTTTTTGTATTTTTTCTCAGAAATGAGATATTTTTCCAGGGTACAAAGTATCCTATATGTTGACACGGATAACCAGCTATCACCATACCAAATTTCATCAAAATCCCTCCAGTGGTTTTTCTGTGATGCGGTAACAGTTGTCTGTTTTCCAAAAAATATTTAATGTACAGATTCGGCTTAGTTACACTTTCATTATATGTATAGATAAAATGAAGTGTATGCAATAATGCAGTATGTGCAGTAGATACCAGCTTGCCGGGGCGGTCGCGGTCGAGCGCGTGCAGGTCGGCGCGCGCGGGCACCTGGAACTGCGCCGCGTTGAGCACGGCCGCCACCAGCGGGCCCTTCACGTGCGTGTCCAGCGGCGACGCGCTGTGCAGGCTCGGCGAGATGTTCACCTGACACACACACACACACACACACACACGTACATGTACTTGTAAATATTACTATATAAATATTGTTACGTCTCATATTTTCATGTGCGAATCAATTCCAACATGATTACCACTTGTCCTATGGTAAAGGATAACATCGTGAGGAAACCTGCATGTCTGAGAGAACCTAGCGAGTTGTCGAAAGACATGTAAAGTCCACCAACCCGCACTTGGCTAGCGTGGTAGGCTATGGGCCTGATCGCATGTAGTAAAGGGAGATCCGTGCCCAGATGTTAAAAAAGGGCTGAATACATGTGGGTGTTTCTGTGTAAACTGGACAACTTGCGTAACAAAAGTGTCTTGGCCACTTTTTTGCTTAGTATGTATTTTGAAAAAAGTTATTAAGGAAATAAATATCTATCCATACTAATATTATAAATGTGAAAGTATGTTTGTTTGATTGTTTGTTTGTTTGTTTGTCCTTCTTTCACGTCAAAACTGAGTGACGGATTGGCGTGATTTTTTGTGTGGAGATAGTTGGAGGGCTGGAGAGTGATATAGACTACTTTTTATCGCGGAAGATTTCTTAATTCCCATAGGAAAACACGTTATAATACAATCCAAAAAAAAATATTAATGATCAAAATTACTTGAAACTTGATATTATTGCTCTTCAATAAAATTAAATAAATACGTGTCTTAGTATTTTTCAAAATTCATCCTACAATGGGGTAAAATAGGGAATGAAAGTTTGTACGAAACTACCTTTTTAGAGATTTTTTTATAGTTTTAGCGCGAGCGAAGCCGCGGGTTCTGCTAGTAATTTATAATATTATTATATTTATCACTACGTATTTTATTATACAACAATGTCCCCCCGCCGAGTCTGTCTGTCAGTCGCAAAGCGATAAACTCAAAAATTACCCAGCGGATTTTCATACGGTTTTCAATAATGGACGGAGTGATTCATGAGGAAGGGTTTGGTGTGTAATTTATTAAGATTTTGTATAAATTGGCTGTAACATGACGATGATTGTAGAATATTTCATAAAAAATCATTCCGACTGGGAGCTTTATTGGGCGTGCGCCGCGTAAATTAAGTTATATGATAACAATGTATATGTAATATATTTATTTCTACCTAGGGACGCATCTGAGCAAAGCGAGAGTAAGCCACTAGTTAAATATATAAACAGCACAAGAACAAGTGAATAACAAATAATGTAAAGACTTCAAGTATTTTATTAATATTATAGAGTACCTGTAATTAGATAAAAAATATTTCTATACACACCTCCAATAGCCAGGGTTTCAGATCCTGATCCAGCAATACATCGATACCAAACAACTCGTAGCAATTGTATCTCGATGTGACGTTAGCTTTGGTCAGCGAACTGATGCTTGCTTCCCCACATATGATTGTTTTGATCACGAGGTCCTTTATGTTCTCCCACAACGTGTCTACGTCTACTTTCTGTTCAGTCTTTAGGTATTGAAATAGAGTTTGCAGAGTCCTGTAATATGATTACAAGTTTCTATATCGAAGTGGACTTCTTTGGCCGCGTTGAGCGATTTTGGCTATGAATTTTCACCCTAGGAAAACTCATGGGCTCGCGTCACCAACATGCCGCGTGTGACACGCGACGTCCACACAGTCCGGCGCAGACTGGTGTGGTGACGCGCAGCATCATATGTTTCGATTAATAAATAAACTATATCAAAATCAAATTTTTTATTATATATTTATAATAATTTCAATTTACAAATTATGAAAATTTAATTATTTATTTAAAAATAAATGTAATTAATTTAAAAATAAAAAAGTTATTCCAAAGTTATAAGGTTTCGCTTCTATTGGTAGTTCACGAATGCGTACTTTATTATTTTTTTTGTTTATATATATACATATTATCTATTATAAAAAAAATTACAAAAATAAAAAAATCCGACTGCTTACGCATAGCAAAAGCGAATTAAAAAGATGGTAACAAGTTGACAAAGAAACATATATTTTATACTTGCTGAAAGTCATGCTATTGAATGATGCTGCGAATCAATCGTAAATAGATCCGCGAAAAAATCGGAAATAATATTTTTATTTAAAATGTCAAATATTCGCGTAATCTAAGAACTTATTATGTGCACCATAGGTTTACTAAAACCTACTCACTGTACTTAAACTGATGTAGTAATTATAATAAATTTAAATTTTGAGCCATCGATCAAAAAAGTATTAGATACATAAATCCCACGCAAAACTTCTCTTAAAACTGTCACCAATAGTATTTAGGTAATTTTTCCAGTTGAAATAAATATACAACAATGTAAATTGAACCTTAAATGAAATATTTATAGTTGTTTTCACAAAATAAAAAAAATTAAAAGCGCGGTCAAATGTTCAAATGAGCGCTCATTCGGTAAGGACATTTTTTGTCACTGATTGCGTATCTAGTAGTTTTTTGGAACTTTTTTTATAAATGTTTACACCCAATTTTGCTGAGTAATTGCTTATTAAGGAAAAAAATTAGCTTTAAGTAGGAAAAATAAAATATATCAGCTATTATATAATGTTAATATTAAAATATATGAAAGTTTACCATTTATGTCCTTCGCAAGCGGCAAAGTCCTCATTGGGAGTGTAACTCTTTGACAGTCTATTGATGGAGTAATTAGTTAAATGCATGTATCTATCATTTAGCGATGACAACTCATCGTTATATTTTACTGTAAAAAGACAAACAAAAATATTCAGAATAAGAATCAGGAATAATCTATTAAACATGCTGTTATAAACTAAAAACCTATAAAAAACGTCAAATAAAACACAGTATGAGACCTATGTCATTTAAAGCTTGTTTTAAGGTATTAAAAAAGTATCTGTAAGAAATACTTAAGATTTTATATTTCTTGAAACCAATGTAAAACATAATTTTCGCTATAGAGCTTTGAGGTTAAATACCATACAATAAAGTGATGGCTTTTATATCGTGAATCTTATAACTGTTGGGCTTGGGTCCAGGATACATATAAAAGTACTTATGGTTCTTTTTAAATATATAGGTAGGTAGTAGCAAATTATCTCACCCGAAGCAAACCTAGCCAATCCATCCTTATATAGATATATCCTCAGCGGGTGTATGGAGGTGACGAGCACGTACAGCCTGAGGTCGAACTTGCTGCCGTTGATGAGGTAGGGCTTGGACACGTAGCGCTGGACCACGACGGGTTTCTTTTTGGGTATTTGCGTCCATCGGGACACTACTTTGATGCCCGTGCCTCGAGCTGATGCAGGCTGAAATAATGATATACGTATATATATATATATATATATAAATATATATATATATATATATATATATATTATAAAATGAGAATTTATGCAAGTTGACACGTGCGTTTTTGAAATTCACTTCAATATAGAATTATGTGATCGAATGATGGCTGTACGGCGTAAAAAAACATGAATGCTACGCGATAAAATTGTTCGTAATATGACTAATATTTTTTAATTTTTTATTTTAAACATCTTGCTGTATCTCCGAGCTACTCAGTGTAGGATTCCGATAAAATTTAGCTTTTTTATATGTATGTATGCCTTTAAATATAATTATTTTTTTGAATTCCATGCTCTCTTCACTATTTCTTTATTAATTTTAATAAAAAAAAAATCCGCCAGTAAAAACAAAATGTTACACTTTTTTATTTCACCTAAAAATTTCATTCATTAGCGAAAAACCTAAATATACATTACCAGTAAGATGTCTGAAAACCAAAAGAAACCTTTATGCAAGCACAACAAAGCGAGCGGGTGATGGAAAGATGACAATAACATCCCTATTCATTATAAATAATATATTTAATTTAATTATTATCAGTCAAACTAACCGGTTTAATGATCCACTTTTCGTTATTCGCAGCATACTTTTCCCAGTCATGTTTCAATATCTTCAAGTCGTGAGGCAACACGTAGGTCTTGGGCATGATACCGAACTCACTAACTCCATACTTAGACGCTAACTTCTGTAGATTCCTCCACAACCTGTCCTTCCTTCCTATTTGAAAAGTTCCGGGGAAATGGTTCATTTTCTGTCCGTCTTTGATCGCTCTGAACATTATTGACTTCATATGTTTGCCCCATATGCCTATCCAGTCGACTGTTTCTGAAATTGTTAAAATTATATTTAGTAAACTATCTATTCACACTCGCTCCGCTCGGTTTCGTCCCTACTTACGTTTTAACGTTTAGTATAGATTTCTCAGAGATAGGATATTTTCCCGCAGTAAAAAGTATCCTATATGTTGACCCGTATCATCATACCAAATTTCATCAAAATCCTTCCAATGGTTTTTCCGTGATGCGGTCACAGACAGACAGACAGACAGACAGACAAAAATTCTAAAAAACTATAGATTCGGCCTCTGTATCGATAATAATGTATATTTCAATAAGATTATTCAAAAAATATTTAATGAAAAGATTAGGCTTATGTACAATTTTATTATAACATGTATAGATTGACAGTCGTATCTACAAAAACAAAAATTAATTTTCGCATGATTGTCTTCTATGCTTTCCTAAACAATTGACCCGATAGTGATGAAACTCTATGATGAATAATTATTTTAAATTTTTGGTTCCCGACGTTTCGAATGCTTTACAGCAATCATGGTCACGGGAGAGACTAAGGTTTTTGTCGTCTTAAAGATCATTATACCCACCAAATTATTAATTAATTTATTCAATTAGGATCACCAATATGACATACAGTATCTTAACAAAATACACAATTGTATAAATGAGCCATCCAACTGTTATCATACTTATAGGTAACCACGACATAAACAGTTACACGGCATATAAAAAAAATCAAAATTAAGCGCACTATAAATTATGTATAAACAAAAAAAAAGACACTATTATAGTTAGTTACTTAAAGCAACGAAAGAAGAAAGAAAAAAAAAGAAGCAATATCTATCATGAGAAAAAAAAACAAATTAGCAATACAATAGATAGAAGTTAAAAACTATCACCATATGTAACTCTTAAGCAGTTTAATGTCAAAGACTTAAATTTTTTAATTTTATTAGAAAATATTTCCAAATATATACTTTACAATACTTATTAATGAAATGAAACTTTATTCAAATAGATTTATCACAAGCACTTTTGAATCGTCAATTTAGAGCGTTGTGTAGTCAGTCAGTGTGAAAGCTACCACCAGCTCGGAAAGCAGTTCTGCTGAGAAGAGTCGGCGAGAAACTTAACAGTCCACTAATTTTAATTTAAGCCCTTTTTTATATGATTTTAATAATTATAGAAACGCTCGTAACAAAAAATCATAAGAAACCTGAGAAAAAAAATCGAAAACATATTTTTAAGTGAAAATATTATTAAAAATCTAATTACCTTCTTGTGGACATTCCGCTGTATCGCACTCACTCTTAACCAATTTGAAGCCAGAATTCGTCAAAGTTTTCTTAACAACTATCGGCGTAATTGTTGTTACTTTCCATTTTAGATGTTTTTGTATCGCTAAGGGGATTTTTAAGGGAGTCGTCTCATCGTGACCTACGAATTTAAGGTATGGAGGGACGCGAGGGAATAAAGATGGTCGGAGACAATTGCTTATAGACTCCGGCAAATTTAATGATGATTCTGAAAATAAATAACATGTCTATAATTAATTAATTTTATTAATATTTTATATGCATATATATAATTAGCACAATTGTATGACCAATTTGAACTTTGTAATCGGTAATAGCGATAATTTTTTAGTTATTTAAGTTGTCTTAATAGTTAATATCACATTAATTTAAAGTTTAAACTTAGAATTTACTTCAGACTGGCCATAAAATTAAAAAAAAAATCTTTAAATAAATAATATTATGTGAATATCATATATCAAATTTTACCTATAATTAACACAAATAATAACTTATAAGCAATATAATTAACTAGTGGATAATGTATGTGTAATGATATAAAGCTTTTGTAAATTATATTTAAAACTATACAAGATAACTATTAAAACAATTTACCGTTTTAAATCAAACTACTTTTTCGGATTTTTTCGCGGATTTATTTTGATTTTTGTTTCCCGACGTTTCGAATGCTATATTAGCATTTATTACGCGGAAGAGCTCTCGAAACGTCGGGAACGAAAAATCAAAATACATAAGTCCAAAGTCCGCAAAAAAAAAATCCGAAAAGATAGCAAAATCGCGTAAATATAAGTACATATTACGTATATAACCAATAATTATGCCTATTGATATATTTGTTACTACATAATTGTATTTGAATGGTATACTACTTTAAAACCAGCATATAAGCTCAAAATTAATTAACACCATTAACATAAGAAATACTGTAATATATAATATCGCATAAAGCTCAACTAAATGTTTATAAAATGAAACAAATATTATATTTTTGTAGAATATATTATCGTGTAACCTTTGCGTGTCGGTAAAGTTTTGAAGGGGTTAGTTGTGTGTAAAGAAGTCAAGAACAGTTGGTTCTTGTTTATTTTCTCTGTAAAAATTCAATTGTATAAGAAATTGTTCTTTTATATTAAAATTACGTTTATATACTAATATTAAACATTTTTATCCTATTACTTGTGGTGTACAAAACTATTAATAATCGTTAAATTATCACAAATAAAAAAAAATGGTTTGTTTTATATTGTCATTTTTTTTTTAAAGCCTATGACGATCTTTGGAGTGTAATAATATATATGATGAAAATATCATAACATTTTACAGAACCAACAGCTACCATTGAATGTAACGTTAAAAAACTACATAATTTATAAAAATGTCTATACAAAACCAGCTATTTCATATCAACTTAAATTTTATTTAAATTGAAAAGATATTCTGAGTCATTATTTCGGGATTTACTTGTCTTCACATAATATAAAGGCGAGTTGACGAAAATGCTTCGAATAAAAAAAACTAAAATAGTTTGGCATCAATGCGAGAGAGAGATTCGATAATTTCATTTAAAACTCGGGAATGACGTTTATATTATAGTATTAGGTGTGGAAAGCGAAGAAGAATTCAACATGATAAATTATACTAATTTATATTAGTGTCAGTCCCGACCTTGCCTACGCCAGAAATACTACATAAATTACTCTAAAGTAAAATTAAATAGAATTATTCAATAATTTATTGCCAATTACCTGGCATTTAAAGTTTATAAATATATTTTAAGTTACTTAAACGAGAATCGCTCTTTAAAATTAAACCCAAGCAATCAATTATTATTAAATTTAAAACCAATTAAGATTTTCATTAGCATAAGAAAGCTTACATTTTGTAAGAGAAATAATTTTCAAAACACTCGTGTGTGATTCTTTCTCGCATTGAGGGGAGACCCGTTGTCTCGCGTGGCCCTCAATGCCAACAGTGGGACGTACAAGAGCTGAATTATTTTGTTGTTTATTTTTTTGACCGACATTCAATACGGAGGATATACAAATATGTAAGTACATAACTCGACCGAATAATTTTTACTTCACAAACATTCTATATACACTGGCAGTTTATTAAAAATTATTAGAATTATTATAATATTAAGTAAAAACATCTGTACTAATATTATAAATGTGAAAATTTGTGAGTATGGATGTTTATTTACTCTTTCACGCCAGAACCGCTGAACGGATCTGGATGAAATTTGGCACGGAGATAGATTATAGTCTGGAATAACACATAGGCTTTTTATTCCAGAAAAATGTACGGTTCCCGTGGGATAGGCTTGTTATTTGTTTTCCGACCAGAGCGAAACGAGGCGGAGCCGGCAGTTCATAAATAATTATTACATTATACACTGGATTCTTAATTATCAATTAGCGTAAAATACAGCAAAATTGTTTAAAAGATAAACAATATGCAGAATCACTTGTTCGATGGCTATACTACTCTTGCGGTTTAGTTAAAAAACAGAAGACAGTAATTAATTTGTATTAACTTTAAGCTTACCTTTCGACTGCACGGTCTTAGGAGAAACGACCGTCCCATTCAGTTTGCTTGCCAACTTGACCATGGAGTTTTGTTCTAGATCATTCTTAGCTAGCGTTATTGGTGGTGGTTTGTCTAGTTTCTCTACCTCTATAGAGTCGGTATCCATTTGCCATGTCTCTACAGTCGGGTCATCAGGTGACGGCGATCTACTGTTCGAACTGAAATAAATAAAATAAATTACGATTATACTTTCTTAGATTTACGCGAATATTTGACATTTTTAAATAAAACTATCTTTTCGGATTATTTCGCGGATTTATTTTGATTCTTGGTTCCCGACGTTTCGAATGCTTTACAGCAATCATAGTCACACGAAGACATCTCAAAGGTGTTATATACTTGTTACAGACAGTGCCTACCCACAATTTTACAAAAATGATTTATAAAATTTAAAAATGGCACCAAAGTACCTTACAATATTTGTTGAATATAATAAAAAATAATTACAAATTATTTTAAAATATTATATGTTTTTTAAATTGTTTTGATCAATTAAATGTTTAAATTTACTAGGTATCTTTTAACGTTTAGTATGGAATAGATGGACTATATATATATATATATACATACATACATACATACATACATACATACATACATACATACATACATACATACATACATACATACATACACGCATACACACACACACACACACACACACATAGGTATGATGAGTATTAAAACATGTTTTCCCGTGGGAATAAGATAATCTCCCGCGGTAAAATAGCCTATGTCACTCTCGAGACCTCCAACTGTCTCCATACAAAAATCACGCCGATCCATCACTCTGTTTCGACATGAAAGAAGGACAAACAAACAAACAAATTCTGCCTCTTTATAATATTAGCATAGATTATGATATCGAGGATAAAAGACAAAGTGCTCTCTAAGTATGTAAGTAATGAAACATTCAAAAACTATTTATTCGACAAACAAACAAAACACTATCAAACATACTAACAACTATAATTTTCTTATTAAATTACTTTAGATTGTACTGATGAAAACACGACGGACGGAGATGAAAGCATTCTAATTTTTGCTACGGTTAACTGGGGTATTAAAAAAAAACTTAAAACAATTTTAGAACTAGCAATAAGCGATCTTATTTACCCATAATAATATAAAAAAAACACTTTCGAAAACTGTTTTCGTCACTTGAAATCATAATACTAATAGTTCGCACTGGACGTCTGTTACTTCGTAAACATCACTTAAGGTAAGAATCGATTATGCATGCTCAACGATTTATTTCCTAAACAAACAAAATAATATCATTACTCACTCGTCAGTCTCTCCGATAACATCTTTTGTGCTGGTCTTCATTTTGGCGGTCTTTATTTTCGTTTTAGTTTTCTTTTTTGTTTTGACGGCTTTCTTCGCAACGGGTATCGCTGTTACGGAGCTTACCGGTAGAGCGGGGCTCACCGCGGGACGTGTCGGTGTATGAGTGTCTTGACGAGGCTAAAATACGTAAATATTTATTTAAAAATAAGCCAATGTTAACTATTTGGCCAGATACCCTTGTTAAATTATGTTAACTGGAATTTTGTTATATCTTTTGGCGTATTCATATTTTTTCTTCATTGTGTTTAGAGGTAAAAAATTGGTATAAACTATAAACCCATATATATTGTATAAGTGTTTGTAACGATTAGATACTAAATAACAATTCGATTTACGTAAATAAATACGACAGGATATTTATGTGCATTCCTGAAAGATCGCATAAAGTGTTAATTTTAATGACAAAATCCAAGAGAATATTTCGTGCGCATTTGAAATGAAAATAGAATCATTAATACCTGTTTTACGTTCTAGACACATTGTTTTCTAGATTTAAATGCAACTATGTTTTATCAACTGTAAAGTTTAACAGGTTTTAAATAATATAAACCCTTTAATTATTATCGATAATAATTTAGAATCGATACCAGCTACAGTATGAATACGAAATATATTTTTATACAAAAGTCTAAATATATTTAATTACTGAAATCATTTATACTAGAATAATATTACTAGCACTATAAAGAAAAAAAATCTGGTAATACAATTAAAACAGCATATTATATTAATTAAGCCAGAGCTTACGTCAGTTGCTGATCGCAGCAAATGATTAAAAATTACTTTTTAAGAAACAACTTTCAGGTACGCAAAAGCTACGATTCTCAATTCGTTATAAATGTTGCCTAATATAGAAAAATAACATAAATCGTAAGCTGTTAAATAACGTTTAATATTGAAGATATAATAGCCTACAATTAGTGGTATGAAGCAGTTACAAATAGGATCATCAAACACAATACAAACTGGTGAAATGATTGGCGCGTGTCAATCAGCTAAACGGAAACAATCGACGATAGAATTAACACGCGGAAATGGTAATTGCATGCAAATTACCCTAGCATGAGCTTTCATACGATTGGTTTCAGCGTACCATCGTGTTTTACAACCATAATATATTCGTTTCGATAATTTAAAGTTTTCGATAGAACAAAACAGTTAAGCTGGAACGTTATTTAGAATTTTCAGTGTTACAATTATTAAAATTATTTATATTTTAAGATCTATAAAATAGAAACTAATATAATCTTATAATCTAATTAAATATAACAATATTATGAGATAAGATAAGCACGAGATTAAATAAAGGTTGTAAGTACAACACGTTATTGACCTACCTGCCACGTGGGAAACGACAAACAGGTTAACAATAAAGTGGGATCGGTTCGGGACGAGAATAAACATAGAGATATACGGAATTAGCAGACATACGAGAAATACGAGATTACCGTAGCGCAGTTCCGAATTACAGATTTTGGCAAACATCACTGGAACGTCGAGATTATCACTTTTTTTAACTTATTCCACTGCACATACCTAACCTTGGATGTTAACGATTATTTGTTTAAACGTAACGAAAACTTGTCAAGGATTTAGCAATCAGAATACAGGAAACTCGAGGAACGAGTCGGAAAATTGCAAAAGGCACGCGAAGAAAATTAAAAAGTTGTAATGCACTCGAATCGATTAGGCATCGGAACCGTATGGTGGAGATGGTGTTAATGCATCGTATTGACATTTCGTACAATTGGCATAACGCCCGGTCTATTGAAACTTTACCGCAATAAAAAATCTAAGAGCTTGAACCCCACTCACGTGTTGTTCTACTAGAAAAATGTGTCAGTAGGGTGCATCATAGAGTTGTGATGAATTGGTATATTAAAAGATTGATGATGTGTGCACATGGAGTGTGATGACGAGAGCTAACGTCAGATGCGAAGAGATACATACGTCAGTGGTCAGGAATTCGAGCGACGGCAAGTAACTCTATTGTTACTGTAAGACTTTTGTTCCGTTTTATTTAACCTTCGAATTTTCTTTCATTACAAAAATGTAGAGCAGTAATTTAATGTATATATGCTTTCTAATAGTAACCATATTGCTTAAATTTCTTAAAAATATTACTTACGAGTATTTATCATCATTCTACGACCTACGTATATAATATGTACTATATCACTATGAATATTACAAATTCAAGTCGGCATCTTGTATTCTAATCTAATAAATAGTGACGTGATATATGCTGTCCTAATAATAAAACCAGAAATCATCAAAAAGAAAAGAAGCAGGTACGAATGTTATACCTACTTATAAAATGTGCCTATGTATAAATTTTATTTTTAGTTTATACACGTATAAAAAGTAAAATTAAAAAAAAATCGAATTGACTCAGTAAAGTATTATCGTCTAAGTCTTAAGTTTTTATCAAAAATTTCAACATTTAATTTCCATATTAAAAGACGTTGATAATATCTGTTACCATTCAATAAATAAGAGTGAGATAAAATCGTACAACTAAAACAAATAACTTACGCTGTGACATAACTTCGAAATAATCTTTTTTAGGGATGGCATAGCGATAATCGATCTGTAAACTTAATGATATGCGAAGCACTATTTTTAGTTAGCTTTCAAATACATAAACAAAATCCTCATGGCCTCTTGCACAATATGTAACGAAATTCGGTTCTCGCAATAAAAACACCTGTCGTCACAACACTTCGCGCTAACATCGAAAATATCTCTTTCAAAAAAACATTCCACAACTTCCGCAACACGATAGATGCGGCTATATGCTTGTGTAAACAATTTACATTGTGCGAAATTATGACAGGCCGACCGCACGCGAGCGACTCACTGACTAAGCTATCGAGCTTAGCCAATCCGGAAAACGCGATCTCTTAAATAAAGTCAACTAAAGCTGCCAAAAACTCGTAATAGCCAAACAGGACCTCGCAAACACGCCGTGCATTTCATGTTGCCAGTAGTTCAAATGTACGCTTTCAACTTTAGTTACAGTACAGGGGAGTACCGCCCCATTTCTAACGGGTAGGTGGCAACTATAAAGACGTTAGTTTACGTTACCCTTTCTTGCGGCAATTCATGCGTTAGTGTGATAGTCCTAAATAATATAATTTATAAAAAAAAACACACAGATTATCAACCTTATTTGCAATTAGATAAGATCCAATGTAATATCACCAAAGCGAGTATTCATTGTAGGCGCCGTACTGGGATGTGCCAGGTGTTAAGCGAACCGTGAAAACGCTTTAAAATACTAGTTATAAAATTCAATTTTCAATGACAATAACTTTCAACTTTCATGCTAATTGGGTTTGAAAATTTTAAAATAGGATAAGGTGCTTATTGATACTGAATTAAAATACGTACAGCGAGGTCAGATGCATTATTATTAGCTCAATCGATGTGCACTCTACATGGAAACATACCTTGTTGTAGTATTTTACATTCAACAATCAATTAATGGCAGGCAGTGGTAGCCCAGTGGTAACGCGCTCGCTTGGGAAACCGAATGAAGTGAGTTCAAATCCCGGGTCTCGCACCTCTGATATTTTCATGTGCGAATCATTTCCAACATGATTACCACTTGCCTTAACGGTGAAGGAAAACATCGTGAGGAAACCTGCATGTCTGAGAGAACCTAGCAAGTTTTCAAAAGACATGTGAAGTCCGCCAACCCGCACTTGGCCAGCGTGGTGGACTATGGCCCGATCCCCCTCGTGCTGAAGGGAGGCCCGTGCCCAGCAGAGGGACGTTAAAAAGGGCTGAATACAATCAATGAATAGTGTTCCGCAATAATATTCTATCAAACTGTATTAGATACATATGTTCATTAGAAAAAAATGTGATCTTATTGTGGTTAAAATAGCTACTCATATAATATACTCATATAATAATGCTATTAAACTAACATGGTTTGTACATTATAAAAGTTCAAAGTTTGAACCTTTGTAAAGTACAAGTTATCGCTTATACTTTAAACAAGTTTCCAGACTAATTTTTGGACCAATACGAAATTTTAAGTAGATCTTAACCAGTAAATATATTATTGCGCTTACTATAATAGTATAATATATTATATGTTTAAATATATAACATAGCGACAACAGGAATGATTCGGGTGGGAATGGCATACGTTATATACGTTTTTTAAATTATATCTCATATAAGATATGTTAACATGGCGACAGATAAAAGCTATATTTCACTTAAGTCTTCATACAATGAATTTAGGTTAAAGAAATCGTATACAAATAATTTGTAACACAAAGTTTTTTATAATTATAATTAAATAGAACACTGATAGGCGATGTGGTTTTCGATACATTTATTATATGAAGTAAATTAAGCAAGACATATTATTAAAAGTAAACAATTATATCTAGTATCGCCTAACATATATCACTTTGACCGATAAAATAACGTACTATAATAGAAAATCGTAACATGATATTATATTACACTAGCGACTCACCCTCGCTCTGCTCGGGTTCGTCCCTGGGGCGGGCTCTGGGTGGACCACCCTTATCTTTATCACTTAGGGGTATGGAAAATAGATAGTAGCCTATTCTCAGACCTACTGAATACGCATATAAAATTTGGTAAAAATCGGTAAAGCCGTTTCGGAGGAGTACGGTAACTAACATTGTGACATGGAAATTTTATATATTAGACAAAAGCGACTCACCCTAGCTTCGCTCGGGTTCGTCCCTAAGTTGCTTCCCCATATAATCTTTCATCCCTATTTTCACCCTCCTAAGGGATGATTTCCAGGATAAAAAGTATCTTATGTCCTTACCAGGTTCTCAGACTATCTTCTTAATAAATTTCTTTTAAATCGGTTCAGTAATTTCGGAGCCTATTCGGTACAAGCAAACAAAAAAACAAATCTTTCCTCTTTATAATATTAGTATAGTTTATAATGGAAAATATAAAGAAAAAACAACTAGAGTTGATTAACTTTTGAGTTTTTACTTTTTCAGTACACAGACTCCTAAAACAGTCATTGTTGAGGATATTCGGAAAAAATTGCAGTTAGTGATTTAGAGTAAGGACTTTAATATTCTATTTAAAATTAATAATATTATATTATATTCAAAATGAAATATAACCCAAAGTAAAGTTTAGCTAGGTAACCTAATAAATATAAATAGGTAATATCCGCGTAAATCTAAGAAAGTATTATTTTAAAACAGTTTATTCTAAAAGAAATTTGTTGTTATTACAGTATGAGTCGATACGAGGAGATCCAATGTCGAGCAGAGACAAAGTCAAGCCACCTAGTGGATTTGACTATATAAATATGAGGAACTTATTTAAATGTGAATACCAAAATCTAATCATCTTTAAAATAAAACATTGAAAATACGATATACAAAATGTATCTATATCAAAAAAAATTACAACATCTGTTCAAAGTCAATACCCCTTACTGCGCGCATGATTATTTATACGAGCTCAAAATATATTCAATAAAATCAGTCAAGTGCGAGTCGGACTCGCACACGAAGGGTTCTGTAGCATAATTTTTTTTTTAATATGCATGGCAGGCTTTTTGAAATTCGCCATCTTTATCATCATTTATTTGTTGTTATAGCGGCAATAGAAACATTGAAATCTCTACCTATTAAGGTACATGAGATACAGCCTTCTGACAGACGGACAGCTGAGGCTTAGTAATAGGGCTCTGTTGGCACCCTTCGGGTACGGAACCCTAATAATGAGACCATTGGTACTTGATAACCGAATAGTTAAGCCGATGTCAACAGGTTTTCTAACTGGCGCTTTTAGTCACGTTTGGGAGAAACTTGCATCTCAGTCTACTAATTCATACGATCATCTTACGAAGGCTTTAGACATATAATAAGGCAACCAATCTTGCGAGGTGTAGGCGAGATGCGGGAAAAGCGCACCCGACTGCCATACGTTCTTTTAAGTGCCAGTCGGGAGATAGCTTTAGGGTTGACTAGCATAAATATAATTTATTACGAGATGGCACTACAATGCTTTAATATCGAAACCATCCGCCATGAAAACTGATGTTGTTAGAACTCTTGAACTTGGTGGGACTTTCGTTGGGATCAAAAGCGATCACCTATACCATGAACATAAATTACTAGGCTATATGAATGCAGTGGATAGCTAAGCTTCTCTTATTTTAAGTACGAGCGCCATATGTCAAAGTGACACTTGGGAAACACTTGTGTTGGTGTAATTTTTTGAGGGTGGATATTAAACTAACAATTTGATTATTTTTACATACATTTAAGTTTCGATAAAGGTTTTTTTTGTGATGACAGCATTGGGTTAATACCATAGCTACTAGCTACACCACTTGAATAAATGGATCAGATGAAAAACCAATTTCATTGAATATCTCACTGTCGGTAAAAAATCGGAGCGATAATTGTGTATGACTTACATATATCAAAAAAGTACTACATACACAATCAGCGATAAAAAATATCCTCACCGAATGAGCCCTCATTTGAACCTTTGAGCGCGCTTTTTTTTTCAATTTACAACAAGTATTTATATTTATTTCAACTACATAGAATAATTACCTAAACACAATAATTGGTGACAGTTTTAAAAGAACTTTTGCATGGGATTGTGTATATATAGTACTTCTTTGATCGATGATTACTTAAGACTATTCTGTTAAAGCTCAACTCCTGTCATATTATAATTCAGATCATAGGATTCCCTAAAAATACTTATCCGAATAAATCACTAATCTCTTTGAGACAACATTTAAGAGTAGGTAATCAAGTTATCTACAAATATATGTTAATCTGCATTAATACAACTTAAAATTTACCAAATTCATATATAAATAGTTTTCGCACATGGTTTTGTGTAAAATAATTTAATTAATATTGCATGGAATTAACATGAGCTATATTATTTTAACACTTATAGATAGATAGACTAGATAGACTTCTGAGATTAGCCAGAACATACAGACAGATAGACAAAACAAAAGAGTTTTTCTTAAGTACCGTATATAATTTCATATACATTTAGTAATTATAAATTAAAAATTTAAAAAACCCCCTACGCAAATTAATTGTCATTTAACGATTATACTGGCACGCGTGAAGTACTTAATCGAATAATCGTACGCCAAAATGCCTTACATCATTTTGGAAAAGAGCTGATACTCTTACACTGCTGGACCGATATTAACTAAACCTAGCTTAGAACCACCGCAAGGACACTGGCTTTCAAATGAAAAAAACCGCATCGAAATCGGTCCATCCGTTTCAGAGCTACGATGCCACAGCAGACACACAAACACACACACACAGACAACGACGTCAAACTTATAACACCCCTCTTTTTCCGTCGAGGGTTAAACAGCTGTTATTATGATATTACAAACCTAGAATTTTATTTATATGTATAGATGTATAAATAAATATTATTTATCAATTATCCGTCAGACAAAAATTAAAAAAAACATGTACATATTCATCCTCATTTACTACATTTTCGTGATAATGAGATTAACTACCATAAATTGTATATGCTTTGCATTTAAATCTACAGTAGATTGTAAGAAACCTTAATGTAATGTTATATTTGTATAAAACCTTACATAAAAAGGCTGGTAAAACGTGGCATAACTAAGGCTTCAAAACAGATAACGAATTTTAAGCAAGTTTAACAGCAACATGCACTAGATTCATGATCACCTAATGTTATAAAAATAAGGTGTTTGGTTATTTTATGTTTTTTAGTTGTCTGACTTTTCTATACAATATTAAGTACCTACCTATCAAAATTTTTTTAAGAATTTTCAAACTTTATTTTTCTTATTATTTCAATTCATCAATCATTTATCATTTATGTATATAATATCCATTATCAGTAGTCGGTAGATAAAAGAAATAAAAATAATAAGCATGTATATACGTACAAACTATAGGTATTGTTATAGGTATACTATTTAAATATCTCCTTTATACTTGTAATCATTACAGATAAATAAAATTGAAGCATCTGTTTGTAATGTCATAATAACAGCTTTTTACTAAATGCATATGGAATTATATACGGTATTTATAAGAAAAACACAATTTTAAAATTTTTGTCTGTCTGTTTGTTCCAGCTAATCTCCGAAGTGGCTGGGCCGATTTTGACGGGATTTTCACTGGCAGGTAGTTGATGTTATAAGGAGTAAGTTAGGCTATTTTTATTTCAGCAACAATTAGGGTTCCACTTGAAAAAAAAAAATGTATCCAGGGACAAACCCGAGTGAAGCCAGGGTGAGTCGCTAGTTTAAGATAAGAAAGTGGGTTATGTTTGTAAATTCAACATAATATGAAATCAATTTTATTGTAGTTATGTTTAGATATGGAGTTATTATATTTTACATGCACTCCTCCGATACAGATCTCAGATACAGCAACAGAGGCATCTGACTAATTAAATGAAGTAAAACTAAAGTGAGGTATAAAATGTTTATTTACAAGTGTTAAACTTTTTGGGAAACAAAGTGTTATTATTATTTTAATTTGTTCATGTTCATAATATAGACCAGAAGGGAGTCTAAGTGCGGAAAATGAGTCCACTTCACATTTCACACACACACATTTCATGTTGATAAACCGATACTCAGTACTGGAATATCAACAATCATCCCTAAGCCAAGTGAGTGCCTCTCTTGCCTCGAGTGCTTTCTCACAGATATATCTACCGTATATTAAAGAATGTGATTTCATAATATGAAATATTGTGTAAGGTATAACAAATAAATCTATAATGTAAATCCATACATATAATAAAATTGTAACTAAGCCGAATCTGTACATTAAATATTTTTTGGGAAATCTTATTGCAATAGACATTATTATCGATACACACGCCGAATCTATCGTTTTTAGAGTTTTTGTCTGTCTCTCTGTCTGTAACCGCATCACGGAATATCCACTGGAGGGATTTTGATGAAATTTGCTATGATTATAGCTGGTTATCCGGTCAACATGTAAGATACTTTTTTAACCGCGGGAAAATATCTCATTTCTGAGAAGAAATACAAAAACTGCATTATAACAGTATACTCAAATATGTAAAACCTAAGAGTTTGGTTTTTAGTCATCGGAACGCAAGCGGAGCCGCGGGCAATGTGATAAATTTGTTTATGTATTTTTAAATCAAAATTCCTTACAGTGAGTAAGTAGATGGTAACGATAGTAAAGGAAGACCTTACTTCAGATCTTATACTATTATAAGTAGGGATATATGTAAACAGCTATGTATTTTTTAGCTATCATGCTAATTTTGAAAAATATGTGCAAAATTTCACTAGTAGTCAATATATCTAAATTTAAATCTATACCAAAAAACTTACCACTTCATCAGAAATATCAACAGTCTCACTATTTATAGCCGTAGTTCTTAACACATGCATTTTGTACATATCATCCTTTGGAGCTATAACTACTTGATCTCGGCAAGTACATCTAATACTTTTTGAATAATTTGAAGGACTTTTTGCAGGTGAACTTCCGAGAGCTGCAATTGCTGTACCATATGAATATCCGGTACCTGAATTATCTTTTACTCGCTTCATATTACTTGACAGATATGATAAGTGACTGAAATGAGATATTTATTGTTAAAATTCAAAATATTTTTAATATAACCAAGATAAGAAATGACACAAACTTATTATACATATGCTTTAAATCAATGCTATTTAAAAAAAATATTTTTATACATATTAAGGATTTAAGATAAGTTTTCAGGCAATAAACAAGTAGTAACCAACTGGAATTTACAATTTTAGTCACATGTACCTTATATAGACAATAACAAATAAAAAACAAATAAGCATGTATGCATAACCTTAAAACTAACCTTTCATATCCTGGTATGGGTGAACCTATGTGAAAATTACAATAAAAGTTGTCAGATTCACTAGATGCTCTTTGTCTTCTTCTACCCTCAATACATGACTTTGGATCCTGATAAGACCTTGTTTTTGTTTTCTTTAATATACTTTGTGGTTGAGATTTAGGCAAAGGATTGTTAAGTATAGATTTTAAAGGTTGCTTGGCCATAGTGACTTCCATCATTTCCTGATCTACTTTTTCCAGTAACTCTTCAACTTTTGGTAAACGGCTGTCATCTAGCTTGGTGTTTGATAAAGTGGTGACTAAAAGTGGCCTAGTTGGACTTGTTCTATGAAATTTTGTTCTTCCAGGTTGGTAACTGTAAAAGAAATATAGATTTTTATTATGTAATTAATTTTATATTAACGTTTACTAAGGTTATAATTTATTCAAGTCTGTAACTTACCCATGGTGAATATTACTCTCATGAGCCATAAGGTAATCCCCGTTTTGAGAAGCCGGAAGAGAGCACTCGTGATGGAACCTATCAAAGCGAATGTCGTGTCCGTTATTTATGGTGAAGTAGCTCTTGTTCGGTAGAGCGCGATGATGGCGAGTACTACTATCCGCTGAGCGGTGTAACTCACGCGTTACATCCTCGTATGGCGACCTATCCACGCCTTCGCTTCGACAGCGCCGCCTGAGAACCCTCGCTGGTCCACGTCCCGACCACTCGAACACCGATCCCAACGGATCACACGCGTCAAACCCGGCCTCGTAGCTTGGGCACGTTCGCATGCCATCCATATCCGCGTCTAGTCGCGACGCATCATCAAAAGTCCACATGGATTGTGCCACACCAGAATTTTCACTTTTGCACTGCCAATTTAACAGTTAAACTCTACTGAATCATGGATGGCCAGCTAAGGCGTCGTGAAGGCCAGACGACGACAGCTGACAGATCACCATTTAACAACTACAAAACAACGTGCCAGCTCTCCCGCCAAAATTGAAAAGAATATTATTAAATATATTCTTTTTACAAACAATTTACAAATTACTTTTTTTATAAGTACATTTCACATAAACGCGAACATTTAAATTCACTTCGCACCGTTAATTTACTATACATGCTAGTAGTAATGGCGTTCAATGTAAATATTTTTTATAATTTTTCGTAAACAATGACCGAAATTATAAAACTAAACAAAGCTTTATGTTTAAAAAAATATTAATACACTATTTTTGTCAATAACTAACGATAAAAATCATTAAAAATTGGTAATAAATGAAATTGATCGCCGATAATAAAATTCTTACTATGCTGATACTGCTACATGGCTGTTTTATAGAGACATTGATCTATTTTTTTGTAGCTCTATCTCAAGAAGGCATCATAACGAGCGTGACAGAGAGATCCGAATAATTCGCATTCTTGCCACCTTACATTTCATTTGTTTAGCCTAAATTGTCATATTTTTCATTCATTCAAACTCAAAGTAGATTTATATAGTGTTGCTACTTTAAAGTTAAAATCCTATCTTTTATTATTCATACCTGGCATACACATTGTTTTATAAAAAAAATATGTATTAATTGTAGTAGAATGATTTAATTTGTTAATATGATTATAATATATTATATTCATTTGACTACCTATTATAGTTTTACGCTATATACAAATAAAATATTATAGAGACATAAAGATGGACACACACAACAGGACCAAGAATTTTTTAGCAAAGTTTTTATATAAAGGAACTAGCGACTCACCCTCGATTCGCTCGGGTTCGTCCCTAGGTACGTTTTGACGGTTAGTATGAAATATAAATCTTTAAATTTCTCGGCTTTTCTGTACTAATGTAATATGCATGTATTATACAATAAACCTTCCTCTTGAACCACTCTATTTATAAAAAAAACTCGCATCAATATCCGTTGCGTAGTTTTAAAGATCTAAGCATACATACGGATAGACAGACAGCGGGAAGCGAATTTGTTTTATATTATGTAATATGTATTGACAAGGGACTAGTGACTAGCTCTACGTCGGCGCTCATGATGAAAAAGTAAGCCTTATTACAAAATTAGATTTGACTTTATCTGCTTCCAATTTCCATAGAATTATGTCCTTTTAATATTGACTTGATTGATTGACCAATGCCATTTTAATGCTGAATAAAAATTATTTTTCTTTATTTATATAGAATATAATAAATACTTTTTCTTTGTCAAGTTTTCTTTTACACCGTTATATTTCAAAACTAAGGCTTTGGTAATCTTAGCCCAGTAGCTTAAATAGGGAATGGCATGATCAGAATTCTTATTCAGCAATGAAAATTACTTCGCGATAGATCATAGAATCTGTTGGTAGTGATTTTTGTGACAAATTATTATTTTTTTTTACGTTCTAGTTGGTGCACGATATTTATTGTGAAATTTTGACGCCCTTTAAAAATGTCACCCGGGGCGGGCCGCCGCCCCTCCCACCCTACACCTCCGCCTGTGTACTCAAGTCTCAAACTCACATGCGTACTCATCATGGATGACAAATAAAAGAACTCATATTCAAATTCCAATACCAATAGGTCTTGTAGAGTACACAATTATCACTTCTGTTATTTTTCTAGATTTTTATATTTTTGTTACATTTCATGTTGCTCTACGAAAGATGTGATTATTAAGTACAAAATAAAAGTTAAGCTGATTATATCTACAGATATTTAATTTAAGAACTGTTTGAACCTTAAGATTTTCACAAAACATAATAATATTTATCGCAAAGATATAAATCTTATATAGTTTGCTCAGCAGAAATAAATATGAAGCACGTTGTAATTAAGAAAGATAGTGATTATTAGCGATGGGCGTTGAATGAACGGACTAGTTCAATCAACCGGTTGACGGTTCACGTATTTCAAATGAACTAGTTCAATTCATAGACTAAGACAGTCTGTCTCGCAACGTAAACTAGTACCTACATATAGACTGTCTAGCGTCTACAACTAGCGTACGTGAACCACAGTTCACGATTTGAACTAGTCGACGAAAGAAAATGAACGGTCTAGTTTCGTTCACGCTAAATACGTCGATGACCCATCGCTAGTGATTGACTAATAAAAGTATTTTTTATGAATATCGGTTTAATTTCTATTCAGAAAATATATTCTATTTATTTTTAAACCTTTCATGCCCAATATTGAAAAACTAAAAATGTTATGCAAGATAAAAGTGTCAACATAGTGGTCGTAAAGTACCCGCTCACTTACTTATGATTTTTTTCGACATATTGCACCTCTTGGTTTTTAATGAAACTTGACATGCTGTTAGATAATATATAGACAATTATGTATTTTTTAAAAGTTGTAATTTAATTATATCTGATAGAAATCGATTGACAACATTTTTATTTGCATTTTTTTAATACTTTGTAGGGTTGGCCTGGATATCAAACAGCTATAAACTATAAAGCGTATTGTAACACTTACATTAGTTTTATTTTTACTGGATCAATTACTGTTAGTGTCTTCTACAATATAACATTGGTTACGATATAGGTTCCTATCGTGGGCACTTTCGCCATAGAAGTACGGCTAGACCCTTTCATATACAAATTGATTTAGGAAAGAGAAAATAAAACACATCATACGAGAATCAGTATTCTTTTTACACAGTAATAAACTACCTCAACCTCGCAACTGACACTTATATACTTAAAATATTATAAGAATCTGACTTCTTAACTAAATTATTATTTATTTCAATAAAAATTTCTATCTGTGAGAATATTATAGTTATATTTACGATTTATATAAAAAAATGAACTGTTTCTACAACAAGAGTGTGCATTCCTCACTAAAAAACATGGAATTTTCCTTACACCTACATCAATATTACACAAAAGTAACAAATTCACATCCTGGCACTGTACGAATTACATTTATCTGATTCACATTCACCGAATCCTAAATAATAAATCTATACAATTTCATATAAAAAAACAAGAATGATGATAGTCGCTTGGCGTGGATATTTACAATTTAAAATTTCGTATGTCAATTATTGAAATGAATACAAGTGTTCATAACATTATTTCTGATATAATTACATCCATAAATAAAAATTCAAACAAATCAAAGGCGATTCTGCAATCAAATATACCTGTACACACAACAGCTCCGCGCAGAATACTTAAGTCTAATTCATTGCATAAAAAAGATTTCTATCTTAGTCTATTTTAAATGTTTTTAACTGTCCATTCACAGTCTGATATACAAAGTAGAAAAAATATACATTGTAACCATTTTTACAACCATAAGGAAACCATCTGTTGGAATCAACACTGCAGTTGATGTCACCTAAATAAAGCTTCATAAGACTGTGTCGGGAGTTTGCAGCAAGCTGTCCTACTTTCGTCAAAGCCACCAAATGATTGCAAAACATAATCTGTAACAAAAGTTCATAAATTGTATCATACTGTGAGGGTGGGCTTTTATTAAATACTAGTGATTTACCCTAGCTTTGCTCGGGTGCGTCCTAGGCAAGTGTTTTTTTTTGAGCGGAACCTCATTTTCTAAAATAAAAGTAAAAATTCCGTCGAAATCGGTTCAGCTGTTTCAGAGAGTACCCTTTATGTTGACCTGGGTACCATCTATTATCATACCAAAATTCATTGAAATTCCAAAAACTCTTTTCAATAAGATTTTCCAAAAAAAAATTTAATGTACAGATTTTTGAGTACGATTGTATAGGTACCTTAGCTGGTGAGCAGCGCGATGTTTATCTCCTTGACCATCTTGACGCGGTGCAGCATCTTGGCGAGCGCGGCGCGGCTGAGCGGCTGCGTGGAGTACCACACGGGCGAGTCCGGCACGCACGACCGCTCCGGTTGCAGGTAGAACACGTCGTTGCGCGTCCGCACCGACTCGGGGCTGGGGGCAGTGGGAGCGGAATGTTTTATTACTATTTTATCTACCACTAGCGACTCACCGTCATTCTCCATACAAACATTCATCCCCATTTTCACCCCCTTAAGCGATGATTTCCGGGATAAAAAGTATCCGATGTCCTTCCCAGAGTTTTAAACTATCTTCTTACCAAATTTCATTTAAATCGGTTCAGTAGATCCAGAGATTACCCCTACAATGTTACAAACTCACACTTTACCTCTTTATAATATTAGTATAGACTAACTAGCATTGCCCGCGGCTCCGTTCGCGTTCAGATGACCCAAAACCAAATTTTTAGGTTTTACAGATTAGTATATTGTATGATATTTTTTTTTTTTTATTGCAGGTTTTGCATTTTTTCTCAGTAATAAAATATTTTCCTGCGGTAAAAAGTATCCTATATGTTGACCCAGATAACCAGCTATCACCATACCAAATTTCATCAAAATCCCTCCAGTGGTTTTTCTGTGATGCAGTAACAGACGGACAGACAGAGACAGACAAAAATCCTAAAAACTATAGATTTGGCCTCTGTATCGATAATAATGTTTATTTCAATAAGATGTTCCAAAAATATATCTCTTCCATACACTATCCATGTAATACTGTCAAGAACTTAACAAAAAATTGAAACAATAATATAAAATTAAAGAATTGTGTTACAATAATTTGTAAGATTTACTCACCACTTAGAAATATAAAATTCATATAATTTAACTGGACACCTAAGTGGATTCTCTTCATTTTCTTGCTGCTCATATACTTTCTTTTTCCTTGAATTTGCTTCTGCAAAAATAAAATATAGATTAGTGCATAAAATATTTTTATGGAATATTTTAAAAAAGTGCAAGAATTTTTATATGAAAAAAAAAAACCATTTACAATAAGAATAATTTAAATAAATAAATAAACTCCCGCGTAAATCTAAGAAATTATTATAAGTAAAATTTATTTAATAATTAATAATTATACTTAAAATAAATATGCAAAAAATTTTTTCGTGTTCCATGTTTGATAATAATAATTAAACTAAGAATATATATTTACCTAACGCCGACTGTGGAGGATAAAACCTTAATAACACATTCCTTGAGCCGGGTATCTTTGCTTGTCCGGGCTGGTTTGGATTCCGTTTCCAATGTTTCATTATATGTGAAAATGATAGCTGCATGTGTTCTTCTACTGTCTGGAACACATATCACTTGTTAATATTAAGAATACAATCATTCATTCATTCGTTCAAGCAAGTATACTTCTAAGTATATTTTATAAAATCTATCACTTTTGACTTAACCAAAAAAAATCAAAATTTTAATCCAATGTTTTATATTTTCGGATTTTTTTCTCGAATTTATTTTTATTTTTGGAATCAAAAATCCGAAAAGATATGTTTTATTTTAAAATGTTCAATATTCGCGTAAATCTAAGAAAGTATTATTCTGATGTTTTTGAACAATAATTGCAATTGTATAATGAGTAGTTAATTTATTTCTTTTAATATGTTCATCAGATTTTAGTGTCCATATAAAAATGATTTTAAATGTTTAAATTACTTCATTGTTAACAATATCATACTTACTACAAGATTAAAATGTTTCGTATTAAAAAACATTAAGGTAGATAATAAAACGTGCGGCGAGTGCGCGCCGAGCTGTTTACTCTCCCATAAATGTTCTTCTTCCACACGTGTTACTATGTATTCTGTAAAATAAAAAAAAACATCATTATAATAAATTATAAGAAATTCTTATAATTTACTTTAAATCATATAAATTGAAACTAAATTCAACGTAATATGCCACTTACGTGAGTCATTATATAAAACAGAAAACTTTCTCGCCACTTCGTCCAAACAGTCTGTGAACTTTTCGTAATATGGATCTGTGAATATGTTGTCTATCCTACCGTTTTCAAACAAATATTGCTGTATACCTGCAAAAAATGCCATGAAAAGTATTAATTATAGTGTTATATTTTCTTTCTGAAAAGAAACTAAATATTATGATCCTCTTAATAAATATATATTTTAACAGAGCTTTCATTTAACAAGTTTCAGGTATAAAGTTATACAACGAGATACATAATATACATAACATTAGTTTATTTCCGCGGGTTCGTACGGATAGAAACTGCGTCGATAAAATAAGCCATTTAGTTTATGTGAGAAATAGGCCATCTCTATTACGAATTTTTTCACATTAAAGTAGCTGGACAGATTTAGATGAAACTTAATGCACAAGATAGACTAGGATCTGGTGTAACACATAGGCATATAGTGGTATGTTTAAAATATTATTGGATAAAATCATAGTTATCTATACATAGTATAAAACAAAGCCTCTCCTGCTGTTTGTACGCTTAGATCTTTTAAACTACACAACGGATTTTAACACAGTTTTCAGCAATAGATACAGTGATTCAAGAGGATGGTTTATATGTATAATACATGCATATTATACTCATATTAGTATGAATATAATATGCATGTACCGTTTAAACATACCTAGGGGCGAACCCGTTACCCCTGCGAAGCGAGTGTGAGTCGCTAGTTTATTTATAATATCATATTGTACAGCATACCTAAAACCAAATAGTAAATAGTGTCCGGTGCGTATTCACTGCCGTTAGGTTTCCGCACCTCTTTCACGAACAAACACAACGAATAATTCAACTCGTCCGCCGTCAACTGTAGTATCTCCGACTTGAAAGGTTTCCTTCGTATCGAACTTTTCTCGATCTCAGCGTTCTTTGTCATCACCCATTGCTTCCATGCATTCACACCGAATGTATACTGAAAATCCAGACTAATATTATAAATGTGAAAGTGTGTTTGTTTTTCTTTCTTTCACGTCGAAACAGAGTGATGGATTGGCGGGATTTTTTGTGTGGAGATAGTTAGAGGCCTGGAGAGTGACATAGGCTACTTTTTACCGCGGAATCACGGGATCTACTTCGCACAGGAATATACGTTATAATACAACAAAAAAAATATGATCAGAATTACATAAAATTTGGTATTAATGCTCTTCAATAAAATAAATACGTGTTTTAGCATTTTTTGAAATTCATCCTATAAGGGGGGTAAAATAAGGGATGAAAGTTTGTATTAAACTACCTTTTTAGGGATTTTTTTGTAGTTTTAGCGCGGACTTATATACCTTAAGACACATATTAGCGTCGGGTTTCTCCTGCGGCTCGCGCGGCGGGTCGGGCGCGGGCGCGGGCGGGTCGCGGCGGCGCTTGGCGCGCGCGCGCGGCGGCGGCGGCGGCGCGCGCTTGCGCACGGCGCTGCTGGCGCGCAGCGCCGCCACCGCGCGCTGCTGCTCCAGCACCATCATGTGCTGGTGCATGCTCTCGCCCTCCAGACCTGAGGTTACATTTTTAAAATTATTCTATGTAACAAATAGATGCTGCATCCTAATGTCTTTACTTAATGTGTTTACGACGACCGAGGGAGCGAGTTTACGCGAGAAATACTGTCCTACCGTCACATACAGTTTAACTAGTACAGAGGGCAGCGTTTCATCGAATTTTGCTAGCTTAGCCTTAGTATTAGAGTTCATTTTGCATTATATAATATATTATAGTTAGCTTAAATATGTACCTCAGTATAAATTGTAACATTTACAAAATAAGTAATCTAAGCTGTTTATGTACATTGAAATAAATAAATAAATAAATATTAGCTTGTTTAGGGCCGCTCCACACTATAGTGCCGATCACACTCCGTTCTCGGTTCGATATCGATCTGGTAAAGTATTTTCATACAAGAAACGTTGCTGGAGTGTGATTCGACCGGAACGCAGCATCCTCATTTGCAATCATATATTCATATAAGTAATACCATCAATACCAGTAATGCAACCATATATTCATATAGAAATTAATACATGTAAAATATTTTTTTTAAATAACAGATTGCTAAGCCAAACATTGTTACTCACCAGGCATACCAGGATGAGAGCTTGGCGTGATGGTGTTGGCAGTCATAGCTGACTCCAGGTCAACCGGTTGGTCTTCATACTCTGTGGCCATTTTTAACGCCATTTGTAACATATCCTCCCCAAACGCGTTATTCCCGTCCATACCTCCTACTGGACTGAATCCTTCCTCTATAAATTAATAAATAAAATTTTCTAATTAGCATATTAACAAGATTAATACATGTTTAGCAATAATACTTTCTTTATTTTGGATTGAAAAAAAATATTACTGACAATATTTTTGTTTTTTATTAGATGGAAGTAAATGATTAATGAAATTCTCAAATTCTGAATGAATTAACTCACTGACAAGTAACAAATTTAAAACATTTGAGCCTAGAATAATAGGATTTTGCAAAAATAAGATCCTTAATCTTTATATAGCAAAAAATGTCAGCATTATTTGAAACAATTTTTGAAAATTTATAGGTTTAAATATGGGGGCAAATTGCGTTCTGCACATAGTAATGCACTACATTATATGATGCCTTTAACGAGTTTTGATTGAAGTGTAACTAAAGATCTTCCGTAAGTAAGATGTTCATGTGCATAGTTAATGTATATTGTACATACATAAATATAGCAAAAGTTTATTAATGATATTATATTATAAAAAATTTAATTTAAACATTCTCACCATTCTCATCTTCAGTATCGGAATCACTCTGATCTTTTTTCTTATCACCCGCCACCATTTCGGCCATCATGAGTAGTTCAGCTTCGAACGGATCCGTTGGCATTTTATCATGGATTTTGTTGATTTCCTTCAAAATGCCTTTAGCTGAATTCCTAGTAGTCGGAATGAAGACTGGCGTTGGTATTGGGATGGGTATAGGAACTGGTACGGGAAATGGTAGGGACCACATAACACAAGGAACAGGTACGTAAATTGGTACCGGTACCGGTATAAGGACCCGCCTTTCAAGACTTGGATCTGTTTGGCATTCTTTTGTACATGGATGGGGACGGCATGACACACCTTTGGAGACCATCATTGGTTTTGACATAGTCGCCTTATTTGCAACTTCGTGGGGTGGCAGGGTTTTTACTATAACGTGGTTGTATATTTTGGGTGGTGGTGGTGGGGGTGGTGTTAGCGGCTTAGGGGGTGGCGGGGGTGTTTTAGAGGTTTGAGGGGGTTCGGGTTCCGGTTCGGCTTGTGCTTGCGCTTGCTGTTGTCGCTTAGACTTTGCCCGCGTTGTGGTCTGCACGAGCGGCGGCGGCGGCGCTAACGACTGGACATTCGAAATTACTGGCATCCCTGATGACGAGCGTTGTTGATTCTTTGCTGCTGTGAACAGGTTTTAATACACTTAAAATTATTTTACCTATATTTGTTATATTTTTATTATTATTAGCAATAAAAGAATAGTAGCACTGTGACTTCACTTGTATGTACATTTTTGCTTTTTCACTTTATATAAAAATGCATAGTAAAAAGTATTCAAGCTCTATCTTTTTAGCTACTCAATAAATTGAAATTAACCTTAACTGTATTTTTGACTTAGATTATTAAAAAAAATTCATCGCACGCGAGTAATGCTTTGTTCAAGTATACAGAGAGACAAATATTCTTAAATATGTTGTTTAGTTTTTTTTTTAATATTTATAAAATATATTTTTAATGCACAAACCCAAGTTTTGAGTGTACAGATTTTGTATTTTGTATAAAAAAATACAAAGTATTCTTATTATTTGTAAACCAAATGCTATAAGTGAGTATGTACCATTATTTTTATTTGCTGCTCCTGAATAGGTTCTTCTTGGAGCCCCGGTAGGCACAGCCTTTTGTTGGTCCATCGTTTCACCTGACATCACCGGTAATGCTTGTTTTGAGTACTGACCCTGCATTCATTTATAATGTTATATTAATCACATTAAATGCAAATATTTAGTGTTTGTTTTTTAAATAGATATGTGCCCTATGAAATATGTACATATACATATATTATGACATTCAGAAAATAAATACTTACAGAAATTATTGAATTCTTTAATTTTTGGAAACATTTATTTCCTTATTTTTGTAAAAAAAAAGTGTAAATCTATTGACGCTATGTTATTATACGCAACTACTTCAGAATTAAAGGAAAAGAGAGTGCACCTGTGCCTGCGCGGACACTTATCTTATATATTTAAACGAGCTATTCTATAATATATATATATCGTAGTAGATTACTCTCAGTAAGATTATCCCCCGAAAATAGTTAGAGGGCGATACTATTATATGCAATACTAGCATCGCCCGCGGCTCCGCCCGCGTTCAGATGACCAAGAACCAAATTCTTAGGTTTTACATATTAATATACTCTTACATTGCAGTTTTTGTATTTTTTCTCAGAAATGAGATATTTTTCCGCGGTAAAAAGTATCCTATACGTTGACACGGATAACCAGCTATCACTATACCAAATTTCATCAAAATCCCTCCAGTGGTTTTTCTGTGATGCGGTAACAGAGAGACAGAAAGACAGACAAAAATCCTAAAAACGATAGATTCCGCCTCTGTATCGATAATAATGTTTATGTCAATAAGATTTTCCAAAAAATATTTAATGTACAGATACAGCTTAGTTACAATTTTATTATACATATGTACAGATGTAGGTAGACAGAAAATAATAAAACATTCGTATGTACTAACCTGGAAGGTCATGACACACTGGTAGGTGCAGAAGTTGCGCACGGTCGCGTCCGACATCGTGAGGTGGTACTGCGCCAGCTCCGTCATCTTGCACATGTCGCACTTCGTCCTGCAACACGATTTTATTATTAAATAACTTCTAGTATTATTTATTATCTTATATATAAAATTTCCATGTCACAATGTTTGTTACCGTACTCCTCCGAAACGGCTTTACCGATTTTTACAAAATTTTATATGCGTATTCAGTAGGTCTGAGAATCGGCTACTATCTATTTTCCATACCCCTAAGTGATAAGGGTGGCCCACATTAGGGACGAACCCGACCGGAGCGAGGGTGAGTCGCTAGTATTAAATAAAATAGTATTTTATGTCTATTTATTTATAACATATGAATCTATACAGAGAGCTTAGTCAAACTTTGTAGTGTTAGCTAGTTTCGAGGCAATAAAAAGCATAGGATAGAATTTGTACAATAACTGTGTATTTAGTATCTAATTACGTATTATATTTTTGTTTAAGGCTCTCTCTGCAAACATAGTTGCCTGCTTAGAGCCTATATAGTAGTTAAGAACTTAATATTTTTATAGTCCTGCAATAATATTTTCTACAGTTTATCCATATTGAATTATATACATACATACAAGACGGTATAAAGATACACAACAATTAAGAAAAATAACTTACCGTCTAGATGATACTGCATTAACAGATACTTGATAGAGATTCAAGCAGTTGAGAGAGCACATCATTATAGCTTGTCCATTCGGCTGAGCCCTTCTTATCATATCGAAATTGTATTTCTTTACTTTACACCAATTGCAAGGAACTATGTGCCTAGAGTTACTTATAAATATATTCATACAAGACTTAGTACAGAAGCAGTGAGGCACTGAGCTATCGTAGATTGTAAAAAAAAGGCTCGATTTTCTTTCGAAATATTTTTTACACCAGCGACATTGGTCTGAAAAAATAAATATATTTATAAGAAAAACACTTTTTTTTTAAATTATACTCTTTAAAATTCTACCATTTAAAATAAATTCCCAATACAAAAGTACTTTTAAAGGTAATACATTTTGGATTTCAACATACATTATTCAAAATGCCACATAATAATATCAAAGATTTTAGAAAACCTTACCTGGAAAAATATTATTAACAAATTTGAAAGCAGCGAAGCATGGGTCTGAACATAGCCTCTGAGAAATATCTTTGTTTACTATTACTTCAATGGTTGTGGCTTTTTCTAGAGAACACACAGCGCATTTCGCCCACACCGGCTGAGGCACAGGATTTTTGCTCATCTGATCAAACTTCTCCATACACTGTTGGGAGCAAAAATCTTTAAACTGCCCTTTATCACCAACCGGTGCCAGAAACCCTTGATGACCGGCCGATATGTCCTTTTGACAATAGCAACAGATCTTAAGGCCCTTTTTAAACTCCTCCAAACAAGCCGAATTACAGAACTGTCGTATATCGTAGCCGAACCGAACGCAATATTTGCCTAGACTTGTATGTTGAACTATGTTATTACAATTGGAACATTTAGAACCGATCTTATTTTGATACCGTCCTAAGCATATGTCGTTACAGAAGTCCATTGCCTCCCACATGAGCATCATCTCTTCGTTGGTAAGCAATTTAGAGCATTGGGTGCATGTGCGAAGAAACGTCCGTTCCCTCTCTTCACGGGCGGCTTGCACCATTGCAGGAGTTTTGGCTTGAATCTTGTATGCTTCATCTAAATATTTATCGGTAGCGTTGCTTATGACTTTTAGTTTAAGAAGCGGTGGATTAGTACGTGGCTTGGGCGGTGGTGGAATTCTCTGCGTTCTCTTCTTTTTCAGCAAATACCTTCCATTTTCCTTATTATTCAAATTTCTGAGACAATTCTGATCGCAAATTAGTATAGGAACTCCATAACGGGTTAAACTGTATATACATTCTCTGACCAAATCACAAACACAACATGTACCTTCTTTAGGCATATTCTCTTCTACGGTTATTCTTTTTCTTTTTATAGTGTAAAGTTCGCTCTCTGACCCCATCATACTGTACAAGCACTGTAGTGAACAATAATTCGTATCCACACCATCGAAATTGTAGTAAAAGTAGCAGCTTTTTTTCTCTTCACATTCAGAACAAGTAAGAACTTTTGGTGTAATTTCTTCAATAATGTACTTTTTCATTATGATTACACACTGTTTATCGCTCGCATTTTGGAATGCTTCAACACAGGCCATCTCACATAAGTAATTGAATCCATCCTTGGTATCAAATCGGTAGTGGCATGGCAGTTCTTGTTTACACTGTACACATGTTTTATCAACTGGACTAATTTGTTGAATGGAATTAGATGATTTATCTTCAGACTCAGTATTTTCCTCATGTTCATATTCCTCATGTTCTTTATCTGTTACAAGAATAAATAATACTTTATTAGACTACGTTATTTTAAAGAAATAAAGTAGTTAATAAATAAATAAAAAAAATTATAGTAGGTTTTACTTTACTTTAAAATATACAACACATTACATATATTACAACACATTTAATACAATTATTCTTTTCAGTTCTCGCACACTTATTTATATAAATGCTTCACCGCTAATCCTTGTAGCGTGATGTTGGATAAAAGACAATCAAATAAAATAATAATTATTCAAATAAGAATGGATGCAATAAGAATTTTTCAAATTAGAATGATAGTCCCAGAGATCACATATAAACAAACAAAAAGCAATCCTCAGTTTAATCTATACAAATAAATAAAATTGAAGTGTCTGTTTGTAATGTCAAAATTACAGTTTTTTACTAAATGCATATGATAGTATACATAATATAAGAAAAAAACAATTAAAAAAAAAACGTTTGTCTATCTGTCTGTCTTATTTGTTCCAGCCATTCTCCAAAATGGCTGGTTCGATTTTTGACGGGACTTTCACTGGTAGATATGTGATGTTATAAGCAGTAGCTTAGGTTACTTTTATTTTAGGAAAAGAATTAGAATTCCGCGCAAAAAAATTAAACCTTATTTTTATGTTTTAAAACGTACGGTCGCACTTCCCGATATACGCAGTAGATGGTAACCGTGGGGGTTTTAGTAGGTAAAAATCCTACGTATCCTAATCATCTCGTACCGTTGGTTGGATATCTTTAGAAGATTTCCCTCTCATTATATTAAATAAGAAAAAACACACATACACACACACACACATTTACAAGCTCAAGGGATGATTTTCGGGATAAAAAGTATCCTATGTCTTTCCAACGGTCTCAAACTATCTTCTTACCAAACATCTAAATCGGTTCAGTAGATCCAGAGAATACCCCCTACAACGTCGCAAACTCACAAACTTTACCTCTTTATAATATTAGTATAGAAGTATAGGTACCTCCACCATTTTCTTGCGAGGCATCTTCTGTACTAGCGTCAGCGTCGGCAGCGTCGGCGTCAGCTGCATCCTCAGCATTGGCCTCCGAGGCCTCATCGTGTGTTTCTCCTTCAGCACTCTCCAGCACTTCTGTCTCTGTTTCTTCTTTGGGCACTGCTGACTCTGCAGCTAGTGCTGCTTCTGTTGATATATACTTATATAACGCTAATATTTAATTTAAATCATTATTGTATATTTCACGCAATTATAAGGTTTATAACGACTTTATTTATGTCCTCCGGACTTCGGCCATATCACTATACACTATAGTGACCAAATATGCGTATAAGCAAAATGGGCACTCCCTATTGCTCACACTCTTACACTCCGGCGGAACGACGATTCGACACGGTGAGTAAAGATTGTGCACGGAAGTGAAACACCGCCAACTTCCGAATTCTGAGCTATTACTAAGAATTTCCTAACAGAAAAACTCAACATCTTTAGCTACTCAAGTTTACTTCTAGTAAACTCAAGTTTAGTTAACTTATACCGACCTGGGACTTGAACCCACGACCTTCGGAATTGCAGCCATAGATGCTAGGCACTAGACCACAGTGGTAATTAACAACAGATTTGTTTAATGTATTTAAAAAAAAAACCTTCAATCCTGCACAATTTAGAACTTACCATTATTGTAATGAAAATATCACAATATAATATATTAAACCTACATAATTTTTAAAGATACAAAGTAGGTATTAAGGATAACTGATAAGCTAAATAGCAAAAAAGAAACAAGAAGACAATGAAATCTATAGATTTCGATGGACTCTCTCCGAATTTTTTTAGTTTCTTTAATATAATTCATACATATAATAAAATACATTAAATATTTTTTTGAAAATCTTATCGAAATAGACATTATCGATACAGAGGCCGAATCTAGTTTTTTAAATCTTTGTCTGTCTGTCTGTTACCGCTTCACAGAAAAACTACTGGAGGGATTTTGATGAAATTTGGTATGGTCATAGCTCTGCATAGCATCCGGGTCAACGGGTTAGAATAACATGATGATAGTAAAATTATACATTATACACATTCAAATGAAATTGGTATATGTAAGTAGGTATACTAATATTTAAAATCTAAGAATTTGGTTTTTGGTCATCTGAACGCGGGCAGAACCGTGGGTAATGCTAGTTTATTATATAACTATTTTCATTGTTAAATAAGATATTGTCATATTGCTTTAAAACATATTGCGCCGACCCCAAATAAAAATTGGGACAAGGGCAGGAAGAAGAAGAAGAAGAAATAAGATATTGTCAAAAAACTGTTTCTAGGCGCTATTTTTCCAATATGACGGTGCGAGCGGCAAAGATATGAGGTGGCAAAGAAGAATTCGGAAAGAGCCCATTGAAATCTATAAAATCACCAATTTTCAAAACTCCCAGAAAATTTTCCAGGTAACCTCCTTTATTAGCTTAAAATGACTGGGCTATAAATAAAATGTTAATAAAAAATTGAAAATATGTACCTTCATCTCGTTTTCGCTTCTCAGCCAATGCTTTCTCAGCTGCGGCCTTATCTGCTTCTGAGATTTCTCTCTCCGTGTCAGGCAATAAACATACTTCTTCATCAGCACCAGGCTGTTCTGCAAGTTCTGATAAATTACTTTCATCATCTACAAAATAATTAAAAAAAACATTGATGTCATGTTCATATTTTACAAAGGACATCATTGATACCAAAAATTAGGAATGTGCAAGTTGTACTCATACAAAGAAACATCAATAGTTTAAATCATATTTTCTTTTTTTTCATTATTACTTATGTTAATCAAAATTAGCTTATTTCTGAGAAATTTAATAACTAATTTCTTTTCTATACTATATCAAAGCCAAAAGTCGATTGATCTCACCTGGGGGATGTTCATCGTCATGGTCATCACCATGACCATTATCTTCATTTCCATCAACATTATGGTCATCGTCATCATCATCATCAATATTTAATGTTGTCAGATTTGCTTGAGATGCAGTTTCAGTAAGATCTGAACGATCTTTTAGTAAGATATCAAAAGGATCTAATGCCTGAAATTATAATATTTTAAACAACATTGTTCATTGAGTACTGTGACTAAAATTTTATTTATGTATGAGTCTCGAGAGAAAGGCAACAACAACTTTTATAATCATATATTTTCAAACTAAGTATATAAATAGTACAAATATACATATATTTGTAATATTTATAATGTTTTATCTTTAAAGGGGAGCTAAAACTTATCTTTAGATCGACTTGACCAATTGTAATGAAATTAGATGTTTTCGCTTTGTTTTACAAGTGTTCAAACTGACAACAATCACACAAATAAATAAATATAGCTTCTATTTTATGATACTTATTATTATATTAGAAGCCTATAATTCGTAACTAACTCACTTAGAAAACCAAGTGAAATGGGTTCATACCTGGTTCTAGGAAGCTCAGATATTTTCATTCATCTTAAATGTCATTATTACCCATTGCCAATATAGAAAAAGAACAGATCATGAGGATTTAATATGAAAAAACCTTTGAACTTTTTGAAATACGTGCCAAACCAACATTTATATGTTTGTAATGATTCATTTTTACTATTATGTATAATTATATCTCAAAATATAATTTTAATTTAATAATAAATTTAAGAAAATAATACCTGTGTATGATCTTCTTGTTGTTCATCCATAGAACAATTAGGAGCAGTTTCAAATTCTGGTTTTCTGACTTCTGATTTATCATCGCCATCATCTTTATTTTCACTATTGTGTTCTTGACTTTCTGCTATTGCCTCTTCATCTAAAGGAGTTCGACCTGTTGACACAGCGATATCTTCTGATACTGTTTCTGCTTTTACTTCTTCAACAACTTCGTTATCTTCTGCTGGACTATCTTTCTTTATAATTTCTTCCTCCTCCTTTAAAGGAGACTCTTCAGGTTGTGTTGCTTCTTCTACATTATCTGTGTTGCTATCAGTTTTTTCTCCTTCAGATGCAGAAGTTTCTGGTTTGTCCTCTGTAATTTATTATTATTTTCAAAATTGCTTTATTAGCAACATTTATAATAAATATTTATAATAATTAGAAGAAAAGTCTTTCAGTATAACTTATACAATTAAAATATAAAATTCATATTTTCATTTATTGTGAGAGCTAAATATAAAATTTAATTTTAATTATAATACAATAAAAATAAATTACTTTTTTAATAATAATAAAACTAAATATTTAGTTACTATAATAAATGTGTCACCTTTTTTTAAGTTTTTTTCTTCATCTTCTACATTATACATATTTTTAGCTACTAATTCAGTTGTATCTTCTTTAAAATTTGAACCTTGTTTTTCTACATTTATTTCACAATTATCACTTTCTTTAACACTATAATCTTTACATTTATCATGGTTCAAATGATTTTGTATATCACTATGAACATCTGTATCACTATTTATATTGCTTTTATTTTTATCACTTTCAGTGTCATCAATTTCCGAAATATCTTTTGGAGTTTCTGTAGATGTTTCGATCGGTTTTTCTGCTTCAGCATCTTTTACGGGTCCAGCCTCGCTTTCTACCTCCCCAGGGTTTTCTGTTACTTTATTGTCATCCATTATATTACTTCTATTGGAACAGTACAGTTGAAAATACTATTATCATCTGAAACAATAAAATAGTAATAATAAATTATGGCATTTGCATTTAAATCAGTTGCACTAAATTATGTTTCATTTGTGTTTGCTATGGACTTGCCGCACCCGGCAAAATTTTGAGGTTAGAAATGCTACGATAATATCATAACATATTATGAAGAAAAAGAGTTGAAAAGAAAGAAACTAATATAATATGCATAAGACACTCGGCCGAAATGAATAAAATATAAAGTTATCTAATAAATTAAAGCAATAAGAATGCTATTGACACTGAAGTCATAATTCAAGCCACATATCCCGCGCTTATTATTTTTCATACTTCACTTTATGCAGCGGTAAAAATTGTTGATAATTCCATTTATTCCGTCGTTTATAACTATAAAATACTTCACTCTATAAATATAGTTGTTTTAAAGCTAACATTTTCAATTTTACAATTCATAAAGTTCTTTGTAAAATGATGTAAAAGTTTGATTCAGACATAAATGTGGATGCCACAGTTGATCTTAAGATAATGATTGAATTAAGACCGGCTTATAAATATAATATAAACAAACAAAACTTACGAAGATGAAATATTTAACAAATCACTTGAAAGCCACAACAAACGACCACCATTTTGGAATCAACCTGTGCCTGCAATTTGTTGCGGATGTGAAAGGTTTTACCAACTGAACAACTAACATGATATTTTAATTTATTTCACTCTAAACAGTTAAATTCTCAGATAACAAAGAGTTTAATTAAAATTGTGCTCCAATAGAACGTAAAATATTAAGGTGGACACAGAATAAAAAGCAATCAATGTTTTAAGGCAATCAAGAATAGCGCGTTAATGTTTGACAATTGGCATATTCCGACGCTATAAATTAGTGATGTTCGCACATTCAACATATTGAAATAATATCGAACATCAACGAAAACTTTTAAAATACCTAACTAATAAAACAATTAAAAATATAGAATAGTAAAGATATTATTATTTTAGTATTTAACAGTCTCTTTATAAATTTTATAGATAGGATTTTGTGTAAATTGTATAAATGTTAAATAATTATAGATGTTTTATTTTATTTGTATTTTTCCTTTATAATTAAAAGAAAATAATGTGAAAAACAAATTAAACATCTTAACTAAAAAATATATTATATAATATTATAATTGGCTGAAATAACTATCAAACTATATAAAATAAATTAATGATCTTTAATTTAAAAAATATAAATAAGGGACCAACATAATTTTTGGAAAATAAGTTTATCGACATAATGTTTTAAACAGAGCAAGAAATATCTAACAGACAAAAAGTAAATAAAATATTTATTGTATTGCATAAATAACATTCTAATTGTTATACAAAATTAATATGTTCATTTTATTGAAAAAATCTATCAGTAATTATAAAGTATAATAATATATAATAATTATTTGTTTCTAGATAAAAAATGATATAAATTTATGAGAATTGAATACATAAATATAACTTGAAATAGAAACCGAAGTTTTTCTTATCCGTATTTTTATTAAATAATTTTTTTTTACTTAGTCTTAATATAAAAAACTTAAATATTTAATTTTTTTTTTCCACAAATATAGTATCTGTACTATAAATATATTTTTATACATTATTTTCAATGCAAAGCTAAAGAAAATAATTATTTCAGATAAATATATTTACAACATTAAAAAAAATACTTATTTCAACTTGAATGTATCAGTTTCATGGTTAAAGAGTGAGTTTTCGATTACAAATACTACTTTAGTTATATAAATATGACCTTATTGGTTGTTTGGATTTTGTTAGCTTCTGCTATTGGTTAATTCGATTTCATATTTTTTTAGCGTAGTAAGTATTGGCTAAAGCTGAGATATTAATTGTAGTTGCTTGTCAAAACGTTTTGGCTTATTATGGCGGGTTCGTGTTTTTTCCAGTTTAAATACGAAATGAGTAGTAATGTGCGCCGCTCGGGCGGCGACATTGACAGCGATTTGTCGAGTTTTACCATTCGCCATTTTGTGAATGTTATGGAATTTAATGTTAAGTAATCAAAGTGAACACATCCTGAAGGATTTGGAAATTGGTGTAAGCATAACTTTGTATATTGTCTTACCTGACCTAATGTTATCCAATATTGCTTCAACTTTTGTCTGATAATTACACTGCAGTCTGAGTTAGTGTTGGAAAGATTTTCTTTATTTTCTATTATGTTAAGATTGTATATTTTACGGTATTCATTTAGCTCTATGATGTTCTTTTCAGAAATTGAGATGTCTGAAAAGTCTGTGGTAGGAAAAACAGTTTTAAAGCGTCATGAAGTTGCAAGACCTATACACATTCAGAGGTTGGAAGCCGCCTTAGATATCAGACCATTTGTTAACCAGGTGGAAAGAATACTTAACTCTGATGGAGGTAGTGACAGTGATGATGATTCTGATGCAAAGTCTATGGCCAATGAGATGTCTAAAGGTGACAAAGATATGCATGGTGTTGTGACTACAAAACAAGGTATGCTTAACATTAAAATCTCAATGTTTTATGTAAGGGTTTGCTTTATACCTGTAATAATTATTTATATTTTACTAGAGATTCCTAAATGCTCAAAAGTAGCATATGCACTACTGCAAATTATGATCTGTGTACTAAACTTTACCCAAATTTGCTAAGGCCTTAATCTTAGTAGGCCTCATTAATATTAGTAGTCAACTATTTTATACCTTCTCTAAGTATTAAAGGGTGAAATAGGGGTTCAAAATGTATATGGCAAAATCATATAAGAGAGATGTATCAATTCGTTAAAATTAAACTTGACACAAGTGAAGCTGCTGGCAAAACCTAGTATGCATTTATAATTTTTTACAATGTCATTAGCTTTATTTGATTAAACAATGAGACTAAGCATCATATGAACAGTATATAATAATTCTGTTAATGCATATGATAATGCAGAATTTTTAAATAATAAATACATGGTGTATAATATTACATAGCAATTATTATTATAAGAATAATAATATTATATTTTTGTGAATGTAATTTAAAATTTTTCAAAAATATGACATGGAATCTTATCAATACCTCTTATTAGTACTTTTACTAATACTAAATAACTTTCAAAAACAGAAAGACAAAGTGATCGTCTTAGATTATACAATTTGGCATCTGTTGGGGAAGAACGGCAATGGCTTCGTGATGTGTTGTTGTCATCAGAAACTGAATCAAGTAGTGAAGATGAAACTCCAGCAGCCAAAGATTTGAGGATAAAAAGATTGCTTAAGGAAAGGCACTTTCACAATAAATATGCTAAAGAATATTATAAAGATCCTGGAGTGAGTAAGCTATATTATGTATACTGTTTGATCATTTGAGTAATAATGATAATTTTTAACTCATAAAAAATACATTGAATAATGTTTGTATATGTATAATATAAATATTATTTACAATCATTTAGAATAGTGTATGTGTTTGCAGAAATTTGTACTTACAAAAACTGCTTATACCAAATTCATTAATTTTTTTTAATAATTGATTTAAAGTTAACAGAAATTATTATAAAAGCCATTTAGGCTTTTATAATAACTTCATTGGAACTCAGAAGCAAACATATTACTTGTGCAATAATCTATATAAATACATGTTTATTTTTAGAACTCGCGGTATATGTACTACGGTGCAGGATTACTTTCTACCATAGATCGCTACCCCGAGCGTAGAATTAGTCGTCCCATACAGCCTCCTGCAAATCGAGGTCGGAGGGGTCGTCCTGCCGAGAGAGGTTCGAGAGGCATTCAAAAAGCTAAGAGAGGTCGAGTTAAAGATAGAGGATGTAACGATGGTAGTGATGTTGTAAGTATTTTTTACTATAATATACACAGTGTAGCTAGTTTGTATTACTTATTATAGTAAAAATTAAATTATTAGCTATTAGTATCAAGATTCAGACCCTACACATTCTTAAGTATAGTTCTCTACTTTATGGGTGTATGGATGCGGGTTCCCCCTCTCTGTTTCCTACTCTCAGCGACTGAGAGCTCGTGTAACGTAGTGTGCATGGCACATCTGTACATGAACTACATGCACATAACACATTTGAGTAAACAATTCTTAACTATGTCTTTGTTTTATTTTTGTTATAATATTTATTTTCTTACTTTTTATTTGTCTTATAATTTATGAAAATTGACCTTGAAAAGGACATCATTTTTTGATTATGGCAACAATTATATTAAAATGACGTATAGTCTGTTGTTGTGGCAACTCTCATAATTATGCTGGTAAAAGGTGTACATCTACAAGTGTTTAGTTTTGATTAATTTAAATAAGTATCTCATTATTGGGTACTTTTATTTTCTTCCACTATCGACCAAAAATAATTTAAAAGCATGCTGAAATGGAGGCACGGGTGTTTAAATGTGTAGTTATCTGAGTAAATAAAATATGTTAATGTACGAATATGAAAATGTATTTGTCTTTAACAGCCTGATGGAGTTGACTGGGAAGATCAATTAAGACATTTAAAAGAAGAAAATGATACCGATGAATTTACTATTGCCGAAAAACCAGGAGCCAGGTACATTATCTTATTTGTTATCTTTTTTTCCATATTTTACAATTATTAGTTCACAAAAAAGCATGTACTACAGTTGCATTAAAAAAATACTTATTAATTATGAAACAAACATTGAATGAAATTAATGATAGATTATGTATGATAAAACAAAGATGTGTTTTTATATGCTGAATAATATCAAAACTGTGATAGTCAAACTTTTATAACATATCAAAAACTAGCGACTCAGCCTCATCTCGCTCAGGTTTATTCCTAGCTTGCTTCACAATACAAACTTTCATTTCCATTTTCATCTCTCTCATCATCATCTTCAGGGGTGATTTCCGAAATAAAAAGTATCCTATGTCCTTCCCAGGGTATCAAACTATCTTCTTTCCAAATTTCATCTAATTCGGTTCAGTAGATCCAGGGATTACCCCCACAACCTCACAAACTTTATCTTTTTATAATATTAGTATAGATTAGTCAGCAGCAAGTCAACAATGCTTGTGTAATATGATGATAATTCTTTATTACTTTTTAATGTCTAATAATTACATTTTTTTATCACAGAGGTCGTAAAAAGCTATCAGCCATTAAAAGCCCAGAAGCTTTAACAGCAAGACGCAGGAGACACTGGCAGCTGTTAGTGAAGAAGGAATTGGGAAAAGTACAAAGAGCGCGCACCGCACAGCACAGGGAGTTAATGTTGCAACGGAAGAGACTTGCTACATTGTGCTGTAAGCATTGGAGACATGTGGCTATGCAGGTTTGTTTTGTGTAAATCTATATATAGATTTAATGGGACTTCCATGTTATGGAAAATAATTTTTTTTACTATGTTTTAGCCTATGAACAGAATTAAATGTAGATAAAATTAAAAAATAGAAGTAGTGGTAAAATTGTGCTGTATAATTTCTTAAAGTTTTATGCAAATAAAATTTTACTAATCTTTTCTAAGCATAAAACTGATTACTGAACTATTGTTAAATAATTTAATATTAGTCTATACATATCATAAAATTCTAAGTTGAATCTGTACATTAAATATTTTTCGCAAAATCTTATTGAAATAAACATTAATATCGATATAGAGGTCGAATCTATCGTTTTAGAATTTTTGTCTGTCTGTCTGCCTATCTGTCTGTTACCGCATCACGGAAAAACCACTGGAGGGATTTTGATTAAATTTGTTATGGTGATAGCTGGTTATCTGGGTCAACATATAGGATACTTTTAACCAGGGAAAAATATCTAAATTCTGAGAAAAAATACAAAAAATGTATACTAATATGTAAAGCATAAGAATTTGGTTTTTGGTCATCTGAACGCGGGCGGAGCCGCGGGCAATGCTAGTGCCTAGTATTATATATAACATTAATTGTACAATTAAATTAAATCATGTATATATTTTTTATATATAACAGTCCCAAAAGAACATGAAAGAGACAGTGTGGCGCTGCAAGCGGCTGTCCCGCGAGATGCAAGCGTACTGGCGCCGCTACGACCGCGCAGAGAGAGAGACGCGGCGGCGCATGGAGAGAGAGGCTGAGGAGCAGAGGAAGGTATGTTTTTTATTGTATGTGGTTTTATTTCTGGGCACAGTACATTCTTCAATGGTATAGAGATCAGGTCATAGTCCACCTCGCTGGCCAAGTGTCGGTTGGCGGACTTCACATGTCTGTCTGATTGTTCCGGCTAATCTCCGGAATGGCTAGACTTATTTTGACGGGACTTTCCCTGGCAGATAGCTGACGTTATAAGGAGTAACTTGGCTAATTTTATTTTAGAAAAAGAGTTAGGGTTTGGATCAAATTAAAATATATTTACGGATGTACCCGAGCGAAGCAAGTGTAATTCCCCAGTGTGTAATAGAAACAAAACAAATATAAATGAATATTTATTTTACTACTCAAAATTTTATTCTTTAAAAAATATTTAATATCTACATGTCTTTAAACCTCTTCAGTTATACTATAGTTTATTTTCTATTACTTAAAAAGTAAATTTAAAAATCAAGTAAAATGTCATTTTTTTTTATTTTTCATTTAAAAATTACGTTTTACATAAATAATATAGCTTTATCTTCAAGTATTGTAATATCTAATACATTCAATGATGTAGTATAGATTTATATGAGTTTTTAATATAAATAATTATGACCTAAGAAAAACTGATTTGACACCATCAATCAAAAAAGTACTAGTTACACAATCAGTGACAAAAAATGTCCTCACCGAATGAGCGCTCATTTGAGCATTTGAGCGCGCTTTTAATTAGATTTTTTTTGTGAAAACAATTTAAATCATTGCATTTAATGTTCAATTTAAATTGTTGTATATTTATTTCAAATAGAAAAATTACCTAAACACAATTGATGACAGTTTCAAAAGAACTTTTGCATTGGATTGTGTATCTAGTGCTTTTTCATCAATGTTTGACACTTAAATAATATCTTTCCAGATGGACGTGGAATTAATGGAGGCTAAACGTCAACGTCGCAAGTTAAACTTCCTGATAACGCAAACGGAGCTCTACGCGCACTTCATGCAGAGGAAGTTGAACGCGGACGAAGGGGACACCGACGCGGACATGATTCTACGCCAGCTGGACGAGGACAGGGATCCGAGGCTCGCTGCTATTGATAATTATGACAGGTATGATAGGACAGGATACTCATTTTTATAAAAAAACTAGTAGCGAATCACCCTCGATTCGTTTCGGTTCGTCCCTAGGTTGCTTCCCCATACAAGCTTCACTCACCATACAACTTTCATCCCCATTTTCACTCCCTTAAGGGATGATTTCCGGTGTAAAAAGTATCCTATATTCTTCCCATGGTCAAAAACTAACTTCTTACCAAATTTCATCTAAATCGGGTCTGTAAATCCAGAGATTATCCCCTACAACCTCACAAACTCACACACTCTTTATAATATTAGTATAGATTATTATTACACCGTAAACGTAAATTATAATTAGTGCATAGAAAGTACCAGCATTGTATTTGTTTTGTATCTGTTTGGATGAAAATTATTAATTTTTATTTTTAAGATTAGCGATTTGCCCTCGCTTCATTCAAGTGTATCCCTAGGTGAAAACAAAACAAAATCTCTATAATATTAGTATATACAGTGAAAAGAAATAACCAACCCACATCCCACAATTACAGTGAAGCAATGAAGGCCCGAGCGTCAAAGAACGCGCTGGAGGCGGTGCAGGCGGAGCGCGCGCGCGCCGGCGTGGCGGACGCGGGCGACGAGCGCGAGCGCCGCGGCGACCACGACCAGCCCGCCATATTCCGCGGCACGCTCAAGGGATACCAGCTGAAAGGGATGAACTGGCTCGCTAATTTGTATGATCAGGTATTGGGAACGTTTACGTTTTATTTGTTTTTTTTTGTTTTAGCTTAATATTTGTTTTATAAGCGAAAAACTTAAATATACATTAAATTATTTGAAAACCACATGAAACATTTACATACATCTAGGAAAGAGGGTTGGTGATGGTTTGTAGTTTCTGAAACGAAAAAATATATATATATTGATAACCATATAGAAGTCAGCAAAACAATATTAAATAAGTAAAACTTGTCAAAACGAATCAAAAATTTTATAAATAAATTAAACTCACCAACAGTATAAACATATAGCCTATAGGACTCGTTAAAACGAGTCAATCAAAAAGTCACTAGTTGAAACAATCCAATTGGACGATTTTAGTAATAGCCTTTAAAAAGATGTAATAAACCTTTAATTTTTGGTTCTATTTATCGACACATCTCGATGATATCAATTCATTGTATTCTCATCTAAACTATGGTATCACAATTACATAGTTAGTTAAAATCAACTCTATAAACTGATAGAACGGAATACAAACAAATTAGATGACACATTTGGCTCATTTTTTAGTGACCCTACTTTCTGTGCAAGCGGTCGCGGGTTCGAGTCCCACTGGGGGCATTTATTTGTGTGATGACGAAGGTTTATACTCCAGTCATGGGTTTTATATTTATAATATGTATGTATTTTAAGTTATATGTGAATGCATAGTTCATCAACTATCTGGTATCCATAACACAAGCCTCGTAGCTTACCATGGGACTAGGTGGTGCTAAAAAAATATTTTAATTACAGGGTATAAGTGGAATCCTAGCAGATGAAATGGGTCTGGGCAAAACAGTGCAATGTATAGCTTTCTTGTGCCATGTAGCGGAGAGGCTCGGTGTATGGGGACCATTCTTAGTTGTATCTCCAGCTTCCACTTTACACAATTGGCAGCAGGAGATGCAAAGATTTGTTCCTGATTTTAAAGTCGTAAGTATTATTTTTTGATGTAAAAATATGTATATAAGCATACTATGGGTAATCCTTCCAGCCTTTTCATCATGAAGGAGTAATAAACAAACACACATACACAATTTTGTATAATAGTAGCCTGATTATTGGATACGTTTGTATATAATAGAAATAAATATCTATATTAAATAAATATTTTAGGTACCTTACTGGGGTAGTCCGAGTGAACGCAAAATCCTTCGACAGTTTTGGGAGCGTAAAGACTTGCATACGCGCCAGGCCGCCTTCCACGTGGTAGTGACTTCGTACCAAATTGTTGTGTCGGATTTGAAATATCTGAACAGGGTCTCATGGCAATATATGATATTGGACGAAGCTCAAGCTATCAAAAGCTCCGCCAGCATGAGATGGAAGTTGCTTCTGGGGTTTAGTTGTAGGAATCGATTGTTATTGTCAGGTACATCATATTATGTTTTTTTATAGTTTACTAAAATAGTTAATTATATAAAATAATTGTTATATAAAATTATATTTCTGGAAACCTATTAAGCAATATATATAACAATGCCTATTAAGCAAAAAAAAAAATTTTTTTCATATTTTTTTGCTTAATAGGTATTGTAATAAATATAGTAAATTTTTACTTATAATTAAACTGGGATTGTTTATTTCCATTATATACTAAGAGATAATGTTTTATAGAATTTTTGACGCAACCATTTAAAACCTACAATGGTAGGCGGATATGGCTTGCGTGCAAGCTAGTGCAAAAATATATTTTGATTTGAAAAAAAAACTAGTGTTCGCCCAGTGGTCGAAAGTCTATAAGACTATAATCACTATCGAGAATTTGAGAAAGACATACATATATGAATAGATTTTATCTATGTATAAAACCCAAAATAAACAAATAATAAATACCAAAGCTCGTCAATAGATACTTAATAAAAATAAAATCGGTCTTTGTCCATTTATTTAGTTATGAAATTGCGTAATAAGCAATGCTAATGCATAATATTATGTATATAAATATTTAATGTATTCTTTATGATTATAGGAACTCCAATTCAAAACAGTATGGCGGAGCTTTGGGCTCTTCTGCACTTCATAATGCCGACGTTGTTCGACTCGCACGACGAGTTCAATGAATGGTTCTCTAAAGATATAGAGAGTCATGCTGAGAATAAAACTACTATAGATGAAAGTGAGTAACATTATTTTCATGTTAACAATATGTTTTAATAACTATCATAGTTATTTAATTTATTATTAATTATTCAATACTCCTTGCCATCTTTTTAAAAAATAATAATTAAAATAGTATATTATTCTCTTCATTTTTTATATTTTTTATTTCAAGTACTTGTTTGAATTGTTGACTTAATAAAGTGAAAGTTTCTCATACATATGTATTTGGAAAATTATATAACGATTGTTATAATGTTATTTTTACTTTTGCTTAGAACATCTTTCTCGGCTGCATATGATTCTAAAACCGTTTATGTTACGACGAATTAAGAAGGATGTTGAAAATGAATTGTCAGATAAAATTGAGATTATGGTTCACTGCCCACTAACTATAAGACAGAAATTATTGTACATAGGTAAGTGACTTTATATAATACTAGCGGACCCGACAGACGTTGTCCTGTCTACACGTCTTTAATTTGAAAATTTCAAACTTTTTTTAATAATTTTTTTGATGAAAATTATTATTCAAATTGTGAATCTAAACCATTCCCAGATCCCCTTGAACACACACAAAAAATTTCATCAAAATCGGTCCAGTCGTTTGAGAGAAGTTCAGTGACATACACACTCACAGAAGAATTATATATATAAAGATTTGGTTTTATCAAGGGTTTTAACTTTTAACTCTATAAATAGTATTATGTTAATCAAAGATAGAGGCTCCAAATTCATTTAAATATTACAGTGTGGAAAATAAAAAACATATTTACTTATTCATAACTGTATATATTTATATTATTAGCGTAATTAAATTTAAATATGCAAGAAAATTGAAAATGTGTGCATTTAACTTACAAGAGTATGTGCTCATTAGTTTTGCTTTATTTTATTTTTAGACTAATATGATTGTTTGATATTCATTGAATAATTGGTTTTAACTGTTCTTTTTTAGCTCTTAAGAAGAAAATAAAAATAGAAGAATTATTACATTATTCAGTTGGTGCTGAGTCTGGTCACAATGTAGATAAAAATTTCACTTCAAACCTCATGAACTTAGTTATGCAATTTAGAAAGGTAAGAAAAGATTTTTTTTAAACTACTAATTAATACTACAGACATATCTAGTATTTTACAATAGATTTGATAAACCGATTATTGCAAATCGATTACAAATGGTATGGAATCTATTCAGCTCTTTTTTACGTCCCACTGCTGGGTATGGACCTGGATACTTCAATACGAGGGGCATCAGGCCATGGTTCACCACGCTAGTCAAATACGGACGGACTGAGCATGTCTTTTGACAACATACTAGGTTCTCTCAGACATGCGAGTTTACTCACGATGTTTCCTTTCACCATTATACAAGTGGTGATCATGTTAGAAATGATTCAAATGAAAATATCAAAGGTGTGAGACACAGGATCTGAACCCGCTTCTCTCGGTTTCTCAAGCGCGCGCTTTACCTCTGATCTACCACTGTCTTATTGTATTGTATGGTATAATAATATAAGTAATTATAATATGTAATCGATCTAATAAAAATAACGCTTTTTTGTTTCTACCAGGTATGCAACCATCCTGAGCTATTTGAAAGGCGGGACGTTCGGTCGCCATTTGCGATGCAAGTAGACGACTACCACCTACCTAAGTTAATAGCCGAAGATGGAATTTTATTAAGATCTATACCATCGAATCGTCATATATTATATAATAAATTAAGTATATTAAACCCCTATTATGTACATAATAATTGTTACGGGGATTCAGCTTTTGCATTTACAAGGTTTATGGATCTATCGCCTATGGAGATTTATAGGGTGATGGTGTGTGGATGGTTGTATACGTAAGTAATTTTTATTTAATATTGCTTCAATTATAGTTTTTTAAACGTACTCGTATATGTAAATTAAAACAATTTTTTTAAATAACAAAGTTTGCCAACATTAAATCTACTTATTCCATTTGTTGGGGTTGGGTTTTTTCTTGAAATTTTTATGATGAACTTTATAAATAAACAGTAAACAGGTACAGGAGGTATAACTATTATTAACTATTTATTAAAATAAAAATACATGAAAATCGGTTTACAATCGGATTTACATACATACATACAATTGAATGATACATATATACATACAAAATTTTTTAAAAGATTATGAGGACGTTCAACTTTTTGATAACGCCTTACCATAGACTTAATAGTATAGGCATAAGTCAAATAAATTCAGCGAAATTATTACTTAAATATTATTTCAGTATGCTTCATATAGAAGAATCTTTAGAAAAATTCGAGAAACTTCGCCACAGACAGTATTGGTGGGGACAGACTGAGCACACTGATGTCAAGCAAGAAGAGAAAGAGACGGAAGTATACGGGAACTATTATGATAGAGTGAATAGCAAATATATGCTGCTGGTGTGTCCGGACGGAGATGTGTTGAAGAGGAGAAAACATGACTGTTTGTTGTGGGCGGAGTTGTTGTTCACAGATCCTTTATGGATTGAAGGTACATAGAAAAAGATTTAAAAATTACATAATATTTATATTAAAAAATGAATGTGGATAGAAAAATGTAATTATTTTTTTGGTAATATCTTGGTTTTAACATTTTACTGTTTTGTGATTGTATTTAGACCCCGCGGGTAGAATCTATCTCCAATACATTTTAATTTAGACTATTTTTTCAGATTTTTGGTTAGGTTTTTGGTTTTAGTTTTTGGTTCCCGACTATGCTTTGTAGTACAAAGAGAAGAAGAAGGGAGAGAGATTTATGACTATTTGAGCCATTTCAGACGGCTTCTTTATTTAAAATGTCAAATATTCGCGTTAATTTAAAAAAGTGTTTTATAATAAAATATATTTTTCCATATAAACAGGAGGTCCCTTCTACACGCACGCGGACCACACCATACACTACATGCCGGAGACGATAGAGCACCGCGCCATGCGCACGCGCAACATGAAGATTGAGGGACAGGTACTGAATTACTTATTCAATAATATAGAATATCATACTAATATTATAATCGACAAAGTTGGATGGATGGTTATTAGTCCTTCACGCTAAAACTCCTGTTCTGATTTTGATGAAACTTTACAGTAATATAGTTTATACATTAGAGTAACACAAAGGCTATAATTTTAAAAGATATAGTAGATAATTAAACTACGCTTGTAGAGCCGCGGGGAAACGCTAATTATTATAGAACAAGCGGTAGCGGTAGATTCCCCATATGAGTGATATAGTTTTTATCCCAGAAATCATGCCTTAAGGTGGTGAGAATGGGGATAAAAGATTGTATGGGAAAGTAAGCTAGGGACGAACCCGAGCGAACCGAAGCGATAGTGAGACGCTAGTAATAAATAACACCTCCAGGTAAATTTCTAAGAAATTAATTAAATTTCCAAGAAATCTGTTGTTAACTGACACGCCGGCTTGCCCGCGGTCGCGGAGGGAATAATCTATAACATAATATATATAATCTATAACACATACAGGCAGAAATGCTAAGCGAGATAAAGACGGAGGAGGGCGGCGTGGTGGCGGTGTCGGCGGCCGCGCGCCCGCCCGCGCCGCGCGCGCCGCGCACGCGCCGCGCCGCGCCCACGCCGCTGCCCGCCTTCTTGTTCACTGCGCAGCAGAAGGTACGTGCTTTATATTATACCTACTATAATAATTATAATAGTGAAAGTGTAAAAGTATATATGTGTGTATATATGTTTATTACTCCTTCAATGTGGAACGGAGGTATGTATGTAGTTCATATTCTTCATTGATACAGGCTACTATCTTATGACGATTAATACGAATGTAGCTACAGGTAAAAATAAGCTTTATATAACTTAATCTCAAATAATATTTAGAAACAGTCTGTCGAAAAATTGCTATTTTCAATTCCCTAATATTGTTATAGCAATCATATGCTTTGTTTATAGAACAATATATACTTATCTGCAAAAGACTAAATTCAAATTAATCTACACAAATAATAAAATTGTAACTAAGCCGGATCTGTACATTAAATATTTTCTGGAAAATCTTGTTGAAATAAACATTATTATGGATACCGAGGCTGGATCTATAATTTTTAGAATTTTTGTCTGTCTGTCAATGCATCACGGAAAAACCACTGGAGGGATTTTATTGAAATGTAGTATGATAACAGCTGGTTATCCAGGTCAACTTTTAATATAGGATACTTTTTGCAGCGAGAAAATATTTCATCTCTGAGAAACCGATACTAAACGTTAATAAGTAATTAGGGACAAACCCGAAGGATGAGTCGCTAGTATATGTATAATAGTATACACATGTCCAACACAGGTGAGCGCGTTCACGCGCGCGGTGTTCGCGTGCTCGCGGCGGCACGCGCACCACGCGCGGCGCCACGCGCACGGCGACAGCGCGGCCGGCGCCGCCGCGCTGGCCGCGCTCTCGCAGTGCGCGCGCCCGCCGCACGGCTGGGCCGAGCTGCAGGTGCCCGGTATGTACGCTGGCTTCACAGCTGCCAGTAGACATACTTATTTTATACCGCTGGCTCACTCGAATTATACCAAATCAAATTTTATTATACAAATAAAAAAAACTGTCGAGAAAATACTCTGTGATGAATAAAAAAAATCTATGAAAATACGTAATAACTTAAAATGAAATATACATAAAATATCTATATTTTACAATTTTCGTATCCAACAATACGATCTGCGCGCTCGTATGTTGTACTTGTGTGCGCTCTCTCACTCCCACACTACTTGTTTGTGCTGTCTCATTCGCACGATTCATTGGTGTTTGTTATTAATTGGTGGTGATTAATGAAATTTGATTACACTATTACATTTATTGGCAGCTGATCAAAGAGATGTTCAATTCGGATGATATTTTTTTGTTATTTCCTCCAATTGTTAACAAAATTTTATGATCCTTTTAATAATATGAACAGGCTATACCTAACTCGAGGGTAGTTTACATATATTTCAGAAACTTTCTTACCCTAATTGTGTAATAATTATTTTCATTTATTACTTTTACGTTTTCACTATGTTTTCGTTTACATTAATTAAAATTTTATTTTATCACAAGTAGTTAGATAAAGACTTTAGTATTTCTATTTTCCTAATATAATATGTACAGTCTCTATGTCTATGTTATTAATGGGAGTTCTGAATTCAAAATCTTTGTGCAGTCATCTGAAAATCACGTATATAATAACTCATTTTAAATTAATTTCTAAACAATCTAACAGATAAGAATCAACTAGTGAGCGACGCGGGAAAACTCACCGTCCTAGATTCCTTGCTAAAGAGACTGAAAGAACGCGGCCATCGCGTGCTCATATACAGCCAGATGACCAAGATGATTGATTTGTTAGAAGTGAGTGTCATACATGATATCATGAATATATTGTTAAAAGGCAGTGGTAGCCCAGTGATAACGTATTCTAACTCGATTACCTTGCCTTACGGTGAAAGAAAACATCGTGAGGAAACAAGCATGTCTGAGAAATCCTAGCAAGTTTTCGAAAGACATGTGAGGTCTGCCTACCTGTACTTGGCCAGCGTGCTATTGATCCCCCTCGTATTGAAGGGTGGCAGGCCCGTGCCCAGCTATAGGACGTTAAAAAGGCCTCAATACAGAATATATTGTTATTAATTCAAGTTAGTGCAAGAGTTTAAATTATGCTTATTTTGTTAATATTTAGTTATGGAATTAAATATTTTATTAAAAGTTTTATTTTACGAAGAAAGATTAAACTATATTTCTAATAATATACACTACTTGTTCAATAAATAGTTATTTAATTATATACTAAATGAATATAATTTATGTACTATTTACAAATACTGATCGAGACTTTTTATTATATATATATATATATATATATATATATATATATATATATATATATATATATATATATATATATATATTAATGAATTAAATTATAATGATCTAAGACTAATTTAATATCAGGAATACATGTGGCATCGAAAACACAAGTATATGAGATTGGATGGATCCAGTAAAATATCGGCTCGACGCGACATGGTTGCAGATTTTCAGGTAAAAATATATTGTTGTTAATTAAAATTTTATCACAAAAAACCGAAGTATTTAGGATTGTGCATTCCTAATTATTAGTCAAATTAATTTGATTGATAAGTTATTACAAGAATATGTAAAGTTATTGAATTTGACAGGCCCGTGCAGATATTTTCGTGTTCTTGCTATCGACGCGTGCCGGCGGCCTCGGCATAAACCTTACCGCGGCGGATACTGTGAGTACAATTGTATTTATTAAAATTCTATTTCCTTTAGTATTTAATAGTATTACTAAATATTCGTCATTTGACTATTTGCATATAAGGTGTGTACAACTAGAATCTACTTAACGAATTTCAGCTGTCAATAATAAGCAACCAATGATAAGGTTTTAAGTAAGATTGCAGACTGATAGACATTACAATTTTTTTTTGTTTTTTTTTTACAGCGAACAATTACATATTAAAAATGTTAACACATATTTTCCATTACAGGTGATATTCTACGACTCGGACTGGAACCCCACGGTGGACCAGCAGGCGATGGACCGCGCGCACCGCCTCGGACAGACCAAGCAAGTCACCGTGTACCGCCTCATCTGCAAGGGCACTATAGAGGAGCGCATTATGCAGAGGGCCAGGGAGAAGAGTGAGGTGAGCTGAACATTTTATTCGAGAGTACAAAGAAATGTAAATATAAATATATCAATATATTGTCACATTAATACACAGCACCATCTAGTTCCATGGTAAGCTACGAGGTTTGTGTTATGGATACCAGATAGTTGATATACTACACATATATAACTTTAAATACATACAAAATCTATTCATATAATAAAAGTGTAACTGATCGCTGTCTGTACATGGAAGATATTTGAGAAAAACTGTCATTCGGGGTCTTTATTTACTCAATAGAACCCAAAACAATGATTTTTAGAATTTTGGTCTGTTTGTCTGTGCGTTTGTGCGCGCTAATCTCAGAAACGACTTAACTGATTTAGATGGGAGTTTTCACTAATATATTGTGGTAAGCTTCACTTAACATTTAGTATTTGTTTTATTTCAATTGGTTCATAAACAAAAAGAATTATATTTAAAGATATTCTATCTAATATATCCCGACCAATAACTAATATATGAAGCCACGAGCGAAATGCTATGAAAATTAAAATAATAGGCTTAGTACTTTTGTGCGCGAGTATACCCATGCGCAAACATACCCTCTCCACTTTCTTCCAGCGTTCTTTTTAGATGACGCGAGTTGTACCTGTAGTTTTTTTTACATTTTTTTTATTTCATAACCTTTTTAGGTAATCCCTCTTCCCAATGGTGAAAACTTTATGAAAATGAGTATAGTGGTTTCTGAGATTAGCCCGAGCAAACACAAATCCAACTATAATTTATAATATGTAGTAATGGCCGAGTTGTTGTATCATTCAATTATTTGTTTTGAAATTATTTTAATCTTTCTTAATTGTATTAATCAGTTCAACTATTAAGTAATTATTTATTTTTTTATTATAATGATAAAAAATTTGTTATTTTATGTCATTCACAGATTCAACGGATGGTGATAAGTGGCGGTAATTTCAAGCCAGATACGCTCAAACCGAAGGAAGTTGTGTCGCTTCTATTGGACGATGAAGAAATAGAGCTTAAATGTAAGTTAAACATCTTTCATTGTATAAAATCAGTATTCTACACTAAAAAGTCGGTTCGTATTATTCGTGTATATGTTGCAGAGAAATCGTAAAAATTGTGAAATTGTAATTTCTCGGAGTTTTGTTAATCATCTCCTTTTCTTACAATATCACGGGACAATTTTAGGTAAGTGTTTAGTTTCACTAAGCACATTCAGTGATATTGTGATATGATTTTGTTAATTTCACTAAATAATAAAAGCCGTTAAATTGTGAATCTTTCACTTGTTTTTACAATTTACCTGCGACATATACATATTAATATTTTCGTAAAAAATAAAACGTCAGAGTTAAAGACATAACAGAAGAGTTTAAGTTTACAATTTTTTATATTATTTTATATCATCAGATCGTCAGAAATCTGAAGAAAAGAAAATGATGGAAGAAAGAGAACGCAAGAGAAAACTAGGCATATTACCAGCGGTATGTCATATTTATTTTTATAATGATATATTACCATATACTATTACTTTACGTTACTTATAATATTAAGTACTTGGGCCACCGAGCTTCGCTCGGAGTTTTAGATCGAAAGTACAATTTTCTGTAAAAAAGACAACAAAAAATTTGAAAAAAACAATAATAAATTATACCTTTGTATCTGACCGGTTTTCGAACCCGGACACCTATGATTGTCAATCTTGCGCCTTGGTCGCTTGACCGTGACGCCCTCGTTTCAATTGGATGCGTCCCTAGGTGGCAACAATATGTATTAAATTTGTTTAGTAAATTTCTTCCAAGTCCGTCAACTGCTTCAGCATGACATTCACATATACAGGACAAACATATACACATACATATTCTGCACTAATACAATACACACTTTTGGATTTTCCATCACCAACAGGTAATCATGTTAGAAATGATTCACACATGAGAACATTAGAGCTGCGACAGTCGGTATTTTAACCCGCTTCATTCGGTTTCCCAAGCGAACGCGTTACCACCGGGCTACCACTGCCTACACAAATATTTACATATAGTGGGTTTATTTATTTAAATTATTATACAATTATTGTAGCAGCAACCAGCGCCGATAGAGGCCAAGCGGCCGCGCGAGTCCGCGTCGGAGCCCGGCAGCCCGCTGCAGGTGGACGACGACAGCGACCACTTGGTGGTAGACGCCTCGCCGCAGCCCTTGCGTTAGTATACTTTAATTTAGTACACTATAACTTTTTTTTTATATTATTGTTTGCTTTAATGCAGTGAAATTTACTATTTTCTAAAATGCTTAATTTCTCATAATAAAAAATGGATGCGTGTAACCTTTACGCGCGGTTGAAGTAAAACTTCTTTGGCAAATATTAATTAAATTAAAACATATCAATGATCAAATAAGGCAATTAGGCATATTACAATCATGTATTTATAGAATATCATATACGAAAAGGATATAACATTTGTCTATATATACAGTATCTATGTATACTTGTCAGACAATAACAACGGTTACAATGGCAACATGGAAATGTATTTTATCTCATTCTCTCGCCATTAATCCTATACATTTATATGTATGTTTCTTTTTAGTGTCGCATTTCCGTTTCATCGAGTTTCAAATCACAACGATTCTAAGTTTCACTTTAAAAAAGGAACAGTTTTTTTATATTCTATTTTTTTTTTAAATATTAATAAATAAAATATGAAAAGACAGGTATATAATTATATAATTCACTTATTTTCCCTTCTCTACGTCATACAATATACAAATAATAAATGAATAAAGAAACTCAGGTTTGATTGTTTCTCTGAAACTGAAATTGCAATTTAGAGCTTACTCTGACTGACACATCAACACTGACAGTTCGTTCGGATACTATTTGATATGTTTTACTCTTCCGCCCTAGTACGAGTGTCTTAGATTTGTATAAATGGTTTTTGGTATTTGGCAAATGAATAAATAAATAAAAAATAAATTTTATATGATCCACAGCATATTGCCCGCCGGTGCGGTCCACCTGGGCCAACAGTCGCGTGTCGCGCGGCGCGCGGCGCGGCCGCCCGCGCGGCTCCCGGCACGCCGCGGCGCGCCGCCCCGAGCCCGCTGCGGCAGATAATGCCTCTGCTGTTGCCGCTGGTAATTGTTACAACATACTGATATCATCATATCCCTGCCCATTTCCCTTCATATGAATTACTTGGAGTCGGAGCGGTACATGTTCTGTACTGCTGATAGGATTTGGCAAAACTTTTACGACCGGCCGCTTGCCTTACGTCAACCCTCCTTGGGAATGCTGTTGCATATTGCGGACTTCTTATAATATGCACATTCGATATTGTTTTAATGTAATTTTCTGATATATTTTGAAGACACAATAAATTTTGTTTTGACGTTGTCAATTTTTTTCTACTGATATCACACTATAATAATCTATATACGGTCGGGGCTCGGAACCAGTAATAAAAACACTGTTTAAAGATATGGTATGGTTTCGAAATTAAAGCATTGTAGGGTCACCTCGTGGCAATTCCACATTATATCGTCAACCCTAAAGCTGTTTCCTAACTGCTGTGTAAAAGTAAGTGTGATAGGTTCGTATTATTTTATTGCCCTGTCTAGAAAGCTTTGTTAGACGCCTGTATAGTTTAGTAGACTGCTGATATTGTAAATACAAAACGTGTTTGTGTCTATTACTTCTCCACAAAATAATTGATTGACGAGCGACAGAGGTAAGCGAAAGTTAAAACGAAGGTATTTATAATATATTTTCATTTGGAATTTCGATATTTATCGAAACTACCCATTTTATGCAAAATTTCGATAATTGGGCGGCATTGTTTAGTATGCCCAGGGCGGCGGTAAGGTTAAATTCAATATAGTACACACAACAGCATGAATATTTTAATGAAAATAAACATGGTAATTTAAAAATGTGTTCTGATCCCACCAGGCGCAGCTCTCCTAGAATCCGACGCGCCGCTGGAAGCGATCGAGCCGGCGGCGGCGGCGGCGCCGGGCGCGGCGCGCGGGCGGCGCGGGCCAGGCCGCCCGCGCCTGCGCGCGCCCGCCCGCGCCGCGCGCCCCTCGCGCCGCGCGCGCCGCCCGCGCGAGCCGCTGCTGGTGCCGCTCGCGCCGCCCCCGCCGCCGCCGCCGCCGCCCGTCTGACGTACGTAGGTAGGTGCTAAGTACAACTAATTCTGCAGACAGTACACCTCGTTAGCACAAACTGCATTTTGAAGAGTTATTCTGCTCATCACGCCAAAGATTCTCATGAGTACTTCACCCATTTTTTACGAGATCAACATAAAGTTACTATCATTCAGATAAAAAACTTCCAGATAGGTTCCGTACCATTATCTATAAAAACGGCAAAAAAATCGTTTGTTGTATGGGAGCCCCCATAAATATTTATTTTATTCTGTTTTTTGTTGTTATAGAGTTATTTGTTGTTATAGAGGCAATAGAAATAATCATCTGTGAAAATTTCAACTGTCTAAGTATCACAGTTCATGAGATACAGCTTGGTGACAGACGGACGGACAGCAGAGTTTTAGTTAATAGGTATTAATTACCCTTTGGGTACAGAACCCTAAAAAAGAACCATTGAAATCAGATCTCGTAAAGTGGTCTTTGCCCCTTTTTGGAGGATGTACCCTTCCAATCAAAAAATCCCGATGACAAAAGAAAACTATAAAGTTGTAAACTCTGTATACCAAGTTTCATCCAGATTAGTTGTAGAATACGGCCTGTAGAGAAGTACCAACAAACTGATAGAGGAAAGCAAGTTTTGCCAGACTTAAAGCAAAGATACCTCGCTCCCTCGGTCAACTAAACTCTAGTAACTAATTTACCTACCCTGCTGCTCTAAAATAGCATGTGCAGATCCGGACATCCTCGGTTCGACTCCCGGGTCCCGCTGAGCTTAGTTATTGTTAAGGAAACCACGGTTCCGTCCGCGTTATTAATTATAATATAGAACTATTATACTATGTATTTGACACTACTAAAGTTTCATCAAAATCTGTTCTGTGGTTTTTGTGTGAAAGATAATCATACATCATACATTTTTATAAACTTTCGCATTTGTTATATTAGTGACATGTGCACAATTATACCAAATTAGGCTTAAACCCTCCAGGTAAATTTCTAAGAAATTAATTAAATTTCTAAGAAATCTATTGTTAACTGACACGCCGGCGTGTCCGCGGTCGTGGAGGGACTAAATTACTCCAATGAGGACATTATAGTAATGCGTTCTTAATCGATTTCGTCCATGACGACCAATCTCATAAGAGACTGACCAAATCAACTTATTTAACGTATTTGTTTTTAATTTTAAACATTACAAGTTAATGTAGATATATTATATTACTCTTGTTTCAGACAGTTACGGATTCAAATAGACAGTGGTGATTTAACGTGAAAACCCACCTGATGTGATAATGAAGAAATTATAGTTAAATGCTGTTGCAAATATACCTCACGCGTCCGTAATAAAGGTATCTGCCCACAGCGTTATTATCACATGATAAATACTGTACATAATGTATACATACATCTATATATCTATACTAATATTATAAAGAGGTATAGTTTGTGAGTTTGTGACGTTGTAGGGGGTAATCTCTGGAACTACTGAACCGATTTAGATGAAATTTGGTAAGAAGATTGGGGATGTGTCATGGGTTGTTTAAGTATAAAAAATTAGGGAAAACCCATAAGAACCGTTGGAATATCGAAAATTCAGAACTTTGTTTTGTATGGGAATCACTATTTCGGATTACTTTCAATAGATGGCGTTACTGGTGGACCTATCATCTACAACAATGCGTCAAGTTTAAGTTGGAAAAAAATAATATTTATAATATATAGTCAGTCTATTCCATACTAACTGTTCAAACGTACCTAGAGATGAACCCAAGCGAAGCGAGGGTGTGTCGCTAGTATTATATATATATAATATGTATGATGTATAAAGTTTAAGTATGTATCGAAATTATTATCCGATACTGCTTTATTCTCACTTATTTTTATTCCATTGATTTATATGTTTAAATATATTTAAATAATAATAACAATTTAAAGAACGATTTTAATTACATATAGCTTTGTTCATAGTATGTTATCATTCGCAAACGTATTTCGAATTCGTTCATTTATGTAACGAAATTTATAAGATGTTGAATGTAGTGGGCAGTGACCTTTACACTATTTATATATTATAATTTTGTACAAATAAATTCTCCTAGTTCCAAAGTATTATGTGCAGAGTTTGTAAAACTTTGTGTAACTTAATCAATTATACACGAATACAGTAGACTATGTGTATATTGTGTATAAAATGAAGTATTTTATATAATTTATTATATTATTTTATATAGGTGACTTTTCATTATGAGTCAGCAAATAGCCAAGACGACTTTCTACAATCGACATCGCATATGGAAAACTAAAGATGTTATTGGAATTTTATGTTCTAAATACGAAAAGTTAACGATTAGTAACATAATTTCCATACATTTTTAGCTATCTGTTATCGACAGCGTTGTTATTGTAGTACATAAACGTAGTCTTATTTATACACTGCCAGGAAACCTGTGAAAAATAAAAATGTGTCTTATGTTGTATACTCAAGGTTCATTTTGAAATGTCACTTATATAATTTTGATTAAAATAGCTTGCGAAAATAAATGCTGCTTTAATTATTTCTCATTAAAAAAGCAATAAAACGAATTTTTATTTCTCCGAATCACATTTCTGGACATGACAAATGTTATGTTGGTCTATTTTTTTATTGATTATTGTTATATGAATAGCAATTGTCATTATCTATAAGATTTTGAGAACCTCAAATGTAATTAAATTTATTTAATACATTGTTCAATTGTTTTATTTAATTTTTAACAGCGTTTTGGTGATTAGTATAAACCTATAACAGATTACAACAAAATCTAAGTTATAATAGAGCACCTAGGCGCTCGTTTAGTAGGTTATCAGGCATTGGCGACAATGCTAGTATCACAAATATTTACGAGATGGCGCTATATGACATTGTCAGCATAAGAACAGATACAAAAAGTTTCTATATAATTATTCATATATTTTATTGTTTTATAAAAAAATTGCATTTTTTTTTATTTTATAAAAAAATTGCATTTTTTGTTTTTGTAAAAATATTCATTTTTCAGAAATGCGATCTATATAGACAAACTTAAAAATCAATATTTTATCTAAGTACAAAAGTTGATCCAAATCGTTAGAGTTGTTTCCGAGATACGTGAAATAAATATAAAAGGATTGCTTACTTAATAGTATAAATAATTAAAGGGTACAATTGTGACTTTCAGTTTAGATTTTCGTTAGAGTTTTTAACCAGTTCAATATAGTACCTCGAACATTTTATATGGTGGTACAAATTCCTCGGTGTGACCTGTGGGAGTACTGAATATACCCAGACCGTTGACCGTTTGAAGTATTCTTCACTATATAGAGATAGAAATTTGACACAATTCTATAGAAAATAAAAGATGGTCATCATATATGAAAGCATAAGCATATAAGGTTAGTTTTAAAGATTTTAGTTTGTTTTAAAGAATTTTGTTGTGTCAGCTTTAAATAAAGTATTTACTTATTTTCCTTATTCATAAAATAGTACTAAATAAAAATAGTAGGTACTAAAAAAAAAGTAAAAAAAAATCATCTTTTTTGTAAGTTTATGGGATATTTTTTATACATATTATTTATTTAGTATTTACAAGAAAATGTGGCAATAAATTGATGGATATTAGTATATCCTACTAATATTATAAATGCGAAAGTTTATGAGGATGTATGGATGTTTGTTACACTTTCACGCAAGAACTACTGAAGGGATTTTAATGAAACTTTACAACAATATAGCTCATACATCAGAATGGCACATGGCCTACTTTTTATCCCGAAAAAATGTACGGTTCCTGTGTGATAAGATTTGTTTATTATATAAAAACCTAAAATAAGAATAAAAAAAATATTTTTAAATAGAAAAAATTATAATTCCTATAATTCTACAAAATTATGAGATGTTTTCAGATAATCGCTAAAGTTATTTTTACTTGTCATTACCCCCGGCGTATTCGTGTATTAAATAAAGTATCCACGCTATGAATACCAATGCACTCGTGATACGCGTATGAATCTTGGGTAAGATCGAGCGAAATCTGTCCGTCTGTCTGACGGGAGATAAACTGTTGACATGTGAAGGTATGTATACGGAATTCAGATTTTTTAACTTTAATTTAGATTTGAACAAAGTCGAATGGCTTATTCATAAAATAAATAAATATTCATAACGAAATTAATAAATATGTATTGCAAGAATAATAAGGCTTTTCCTTTATATTTCCAGAAACTTGTATTTTATTCGTTATCCATTTTAATTCTAGGTCACGGATCATTAACTAAGTAACTAAGGTAGTTAACTAAGATTTCAGATTCGTCAGCCTCAATGCGTATATAAAGAAGGATAACTTTAGAGATAAACAAAATTACCATTTTCTTCCGGTTCCTCAAAAGCGTAAGGATAATATTAAAATAAATATGTTGGGACATTAATTAAGGCATGGTATAATATCTATTGATATAACTATTTATTTTTTATTTATTTCTTTAGTCTATCATTATGGTGTATTAAGGTCTTGTGGTGCACTTCTCTCAATATACGAAACTAGCAATATTCGCGGCTTCGCCTGCGTTCAAACTTCCATTATAAATGGTCTATGGTGTGTTATGCACCATGGCGCGTCAGCTACCATGCGCAAACTCCTTGTTTAATTACACCTTATTTAAGGCAATTTGCGATTTCCGTTCCAGGAGCTAATAGAGTTGACTTAACTGTAGACCTAGAGTGCTTTCTTTGTAAAAAATATGCTTGGTCCAGTTTAACCGCCGATCAAAATATATCCCTAGGTATCTATCTTAAGAACTACTTAAGTAGTTCTATAACTTATTCGTAAAGTTAACAACGGCGCACCTTACAGCGATTATTCTATTGCTAGGAGCGTTCTACCTAAATAATGTGTACCTACAGTGTACTTTATAGGCACATTTCATCGGGTGATTTTCTTTCATGTTTGAGTATTCATACAGTTTCACAATGTATCAGATTTATAATATTTTATAAA